TCCAACAAGTTTCAAAATAAGTAAAAATGATAAGAAAATGAATATTGATAAAACTAAAGACAGTATAAATCTGGAAACGGATGTTCATAATATAACTTTTAAATTTGGTAGGCAAGCAACACCATCCGATAATAATGAAAACGAAACACAGGAAACTGTTAAACAAATGATGAAAAATATATAATTAAATAAATAAATATCTAAATAAATATATAGTAATGTCTGAAAATGAGAATTATACTATTAATGATTTAATGAAGAAGATAACATTAATTGGTAAAAATATCAAAAACTTAAATGATATGATTAAATCCATTGATGACAAAATGAAACCAGTTGAACGCGAACAACAAAGCAACGAAGAGAAGGAGAAAATCGAAAAGATATTTCAAGCAAAATCTATAGGAAGACCATCGGGCGACTACCCTACAAAGCAAAAGAAATACTGTGATATGTTGAATACAGGAAAAATCAAACAACCAAAGCAACAAACATTAGAGTTTTATAAAATTACAAAACATGATGATGGAGTATATGTATTATTTGAATAATTAATATCTAAATAATTCTAATAAATGAATTTATTAGAATTATTTAGCGGAACAAAAAGCGTCGGAACCATAGCAAAGTCGCTTGGATTTAATGTGATATCATTAGACTTGAAAAATGCTGATATCAACACTGATATTTTGGAGTGGGATTACAAACAGTTTGACAGAAACCATTTTGATTTTATTTGGAGTAGTCCCCCATGCACTGAATATAGTGTAGCAAAAACTAGGGGAATTAGGAATATCGAATATGCAAATAGTATTGTCTTAAAAACTATTGAGATTATCAAATATTTCAATCCTAAATATTTTGTAATCGAAAATCCACAAACTGGATTATTAAAAAATCAGGAGTTTATGGATGAGTTTGAATTTAAAGATGTTGATTATTGTAAATATGGAATGCCTTACAGAAAACGCACTAGGCTCTGGAATAACATTACAACTTGGAAACCTAGAGATTTATGTAAAAAGGATTGTGGCAACATCAGGAATAATAAACATATTGAAACAGCACAACGGCTTCCATCGGGCACTAAGGAAAAATGGGGAGACAATCCAACAATACATAAACAGGAAGACCTATATAAAATACCTAGCGAATTAATTTGTGAAATCTTAGTGAGTTTGACGGATTAAGGATTTCGAGTTTGGGGTTGGGCTTGAAACTTGAAATTTCTAGGTTCATCCAACGACAACACATTAAAAAAATAGGAATTCTAAAATTTGAAAATAATGAATTTTAAGGGGAATATCCATAGTTTATCAAATTTAGACAACACCAATATTCATATAGATATATCAGGAAACTCTCGCCAATTGCCAAACAGGGCAGGGAAAAATTGGCGAGAGTTTCCCCTTATATTATATATATATACCCCGCCCCAGAAAAAAAACACCCCTCCCAACCAAGTCCTTACCTAGTAGGGCTCGGTCTCGTAGGCGAAGAAGACGATGAAGATACCTGCGCGGTGTCAAGTCGTGTTGGGAAAAAAAACCAACGTGCAATTGCAATGAATATTCAGGCATTGCTCGGCCATGCAGAGATTGGCACTTGCATTTTTCGGCAAACGCAGTCTTTCACGAAGCAAGGAATTACGGAACAACTGCAAATCCTTCCCTGCAAATGCACTACTGAGCCAAATTGCAGACAAGCTAGGCTTTTACAGAGGTCCCTTGTGCAAAATGGCTTTGCGTGAGGTGCAAAATGGCTTTGCATGAGGTGCAAAATGGCTTTGCGTCAGGTGCAAAATGGCTCTCAGTCGGTCATTCCGACATTGAACTTCTTTTTGAAGTCTTCCTCCAGCTGTGTCATTCTCTGGAGCTCTTTCGACCGCATATTTACAAGGATTTGCAACTGATGGTCATAGTGTCCGTCCTTGTAGAAGCAGACAGTGTAGCAGTGAACAAACGCCGAATTCAAGGCAGAGATGACCGAATTGTAGCTCTCCGTCATGGAATGCAACTCCGCAATTGGGGGGGCGAACAAAGGGGCAACTTGGCTCAACACGCTTTCCTGCAACCTTTTCTCTCCACCCTTGGTAATCTCGTTGAACAGCTCCACCTGCTCTTTTGACCACTGGCTGACAAGGGTGGCAAGGAAGTCTTCATTGGAGTTGTCCCGAAACTGGACAAAGACATTCTCGCACCTTTGAATCAATGTTGGCTGAGGGCTCAAAGTGGATGAAGCGAGAGAGGACACCGTATCAAGCTTTGCCTTGGTTTGCTGAAGCTTCTTGGTGCGCTTCGGACCACCTCGCTGAACACCACCGCCACGCAAGACAAGCAAAAGCACCACTCGAAGCTTCTCTTGTCCTTCTTCTAGAAAGGTAGAAATCTCATCGTCATCCTCCATCTTCACACATCCGCACTGCAAGACAAAGTCTTGAATGGTCAGCGTTGGCTTGTCGGATGAACCTGATGCTCTACGGGCAATCTCTCTCAAAATCTTCACCTTGATTTCTTCTGTTGTAGTGCTGGTGCTGACGTTGCGGAGAAGGAACAAGTTGCGACCCTTGAACTCATCAACTTGCAACCACACGGTCTGGTGCTCCTCGAGCTCACCATGGTTGCTCTCATCGCTGCTGAAATCAGACGGGTCGTTCAAATAGCTCAGGGGGAGGTCAATGTAATCGGTGATGCTTCCACAAGAACGAGGCGAGCCATCATCTGACAAAGGCTCATCATCATCTTTTGACACTTCTGGCTTTCCCATAGCCTCTGTCATCATCTTGATGTAGCGAGCGTCGTCCTCACCTGCAGCCTGAGCCTCAATCTTCTTCTTCTTCGCCTCCAGTTCCCGCAACTTATCCGAATCAACCTTCAGGCCCATGGGGTTGTTGTTGAGCTTCTGCAAGGTGTCCAAGGCCGTTTGGTCACGCTCTGTCCATTCCTCAGTGTCATTGGGCTTGTAATCCTTGCCGTCAATCTGTTCAAGTGCCCCCTTTGAAGACAAGCATACACTCCAAGGCTTTTTGAGGGAGACTGGCGCATCATCTTCGTCATCCAAGCGGTGAGCCTTCCCAGCGTAGGTGTTGGTTGTGGTAGTCTGGGCTGTAGAAGATGAGGAACTCTTTTGAGCAGCCTGAACAGTGGAAATCATCTGTGCTCTGTTGTAGATGGTCTCCCACTGGTTGAGGAAAGAGTCGATGGTATTCTGTTTCGTGGCACTCTTGTTGGAAGGACGGAAGCCAAGGCGACCCACCATAGAGAAAATCTGGTCTTTGGTCATCTTCTCCAAAATGAAGCGGATGCGGGACACGTCCCCTGACACGTCAAGGTCATCAATCTCATCAGCGCTGAAGACAGTTCCAGCCTCCAATGCCAAAGCGCACATTGTGCCATCAGGCTTCTTGAAGAAAGTAAGCACCATTGCTCAGCGAGCTATATCTCACAATCTGAAGTCTTGACAGCAAAAAGGCTATGTAAATCAACAGTGGCTTCACGGCTCTCTCTATCTCTCTGCCCCCTCTCTTGTCATCAACTCTGCGCATCACACGACATCTGAAACATGCCAAGCGCACCAGTTCGGGTTGAAGAACTTCTCCCCAACGTAGCCCGCCAGAAAACCCCTTAAAATCCTACAAGGAGGATGCGAGCGTTAGCGAAGCTCGCAAGCTATGCGACCACGCCTAAACAAATATATGATGAAACTGATGAAACGAAGGAGGGAGTGATGTTGTTGCTGTTCTATTTTTTGTCCGGGAAATGGACAAATCGTTTTTAGACAGTTCGAAAAATTTTTTGATGACAAATATTTTTTGCAATATATTTTGCAAAATTTATTTTTTTGAAATGGATGAGGTGAGGAGATTGAGGAAATGACATTTTGAGAGGTATATGATGAAATGAATGAGGCGAGGAGGAAGGAGAAAAGGATGGCGAAAATTTTGGAAAAATGATGATAAAAAAACGGATGAGATGGACAGAAAGGAATGTAGAAAAATGATGAAAACAAATAAGGGTAGAAGATGGAAGATGAAAAAAAATGTAGGGTGGGGGGTATGTATGAAGCAATTTATTTGCTAGGCGAGGCCCTCCACTACTGACAACAGGAAAAAAACCGCAAAGTGGTGGGGTCCTTGGACTGAACTCGTGAAAGGCACCTGGGACTAGGATGTGGTTGGGTACCTTGAAACCACATCTAGCCATGGTTATAGGACTACCTAGACTCTCCACCCTTCAAACATGGGTGTGTATGACGCCATTTTGGGTAATGACCCATGGTTGTAGTTGACTAATGTGCTTTGAAACCAAATCTAGCCATGGTTGTAGGACTATACTCCTAGCCTTTTTCTACCAAGGTGCCGAGCCAAAATCGCGAGTCCAGAAGCCGTAAGGAGTCTAAGGCTTAAGCCGTGAGGCCATACGCGGGGGGCTACACTTAGGTGCTTCGCTCCACTCGGCTCGGCGTTCCGAGCGGTAACTCTGCCTGAAGGGTGGAAAACAAACCTGTCAAAAGGGGCGGCCGGGGGGGTTGGGACTCACTTGCAAAAATTTGGCGGGTTCTTGGGCGCCATGTCTTCAGTGCCAGAATGTGGTGATTTGACCCGTAAAAATGGGGGGTCATTACCCAAAACAATGGTGGCATGGACCCATGTTTAAAGGGTCATGGAGAGTCTAGGTAGTCCTATAACCATGGGCCAAAATGGGTGGTGCATCCCAATCCCCACTAAAATAAAGCCTAAATGGGTGGTGAATTCACCTACCAACCAAAATGGGATCAACCACAACGGTTTTGACCACCGCAGCCACATGGCCATGGGTCAAAATCCAAATCGTACCCCCAGTGAACATCCCCATCCCCACTAAAATCGTGCACCTACCCAAAAGAGTACCATTGGTTTTGACCAACCGCCGCCATATGGAGGTCAAAATAGGGGGGGCCCCAAGCCAGGGCGGTTTCCTCGCGTCCTTTGGGCAGCGAGCATAGCGAGTGGGCCGAGTGGCACAGCCAGCTCCGCCGCGCTGCGCGGCGGCACCGGGTCCTCGCAATGCCAAAGCCGCAGGGCCGGTGCCGTTGTCTGTACCTCCATTTGCTTAAGCCCTCTGGGGAAAAAAACAACTATTTCCAGTACCTGGAGTCTCCATGACATTCTAAAAATAGGTACATGACCCCTTTATTTTGGGTAATGACCCCATTTTTCAAGGGTCATGGAGACTCTAGGTAGTGATACCTAAGCCAACCGGGGAAAATAGACAATATTCTTAAGCAAATGGAAGTACACTGTGCTCCTTTGTCCAGTTCGTTCCCCGGGTAGAGATACACCATACCCCGGTTTAGGCACTGTCTGGGCACATGTAGTGCCTTTCTCAGTCCCCACAGGATTTCGTTAGGAAGAAATGGGAGGCCGGGTCCATTTTAGCAAGACATGCTCAGAATTACCCTCAACATGGTATTCAGTAACCCCAAACAGTGTGTGTGTGTGTCTTGTTTTGTTGAGGATACCATTTCTGGGCTGGTTTTCAAGAGAAAGCCGCAACTTGGACGTCCCTCGGGAGATGTACTGGGTGATTCAAAGCCGTAGCTGGGAGATCCCTCATGGTCCTCCAAGGCCTTTCATGATCATGACTCAATTCGGGTGTAAGAGTACCCCACAACCCAATTCTTATTCCTTGGGCCCGCAGTGTAACCGGAAACACACACGCAACAGCCCACTGCGTGCACGTTCTGTTGCACTCATATTTACACTCTTGTTGGCGCACAGAAACAGCGACGAACAAATATGGTTGGATTCTTCTCATTTAGCTTTGTCTCGAAATGGGGAAAGCAACCGAAACGCAACCAAACGCAATGCCCACATGTTGAAGCACATCCAAATCGAAAAACTAGCAGGATCGACCAACACTTGCTGGTGCTTAGTGGGGAATGACCCCTTGAAGGAAACCATAGGGGATGGTTTGCAGGGGACATTCCATTTCTCATTTTCTGCTGAGAACCAGCAAGAAGAACGGGATCCAGGTGTCTCTCACGGTTTCCCATTCAGCCCAGCCCAAAGACTTAGCCCACATCTGGGGTACACCGAACATTTAGATACTGATTCTGTTTCAGAATACACCCTAAATATAACATACCCAGTGCCTCCGGTCACCACTATGGTAGGAAACCCTTTGGGTTTCTAACCAGGATGTCCCATGGATCGATGGTATTTTAGCGTTGCCAACGGCTTGCCTGGAAGAACTGGAATACTTTTGGAAGACCCCTCAAGAAACAAACGGAGGGCAAATCCAAGTCTTCTGGTCACCCCGAAGTTTTCTTTTTGGTTTCCCTGGAGAAAGCACGAAAAACGGGTACCGCACCTCCCCCCAACAAAATCAAAACAAGACAGACCCACATAGGTTTGGAAGAGACCAACAAAAAAACAATAGTTTATGTTGATTTGCTTATTTGTTTGCATTTGCTATTATTATTACTATTATTATTATTTATTTAAATTTTATTATTACTATTATCATTATTATTAGTAGTAGTAGGAGTAGTAGCAGTCTTGAAAAAAAAGAACAGAACCCACAACGCCCGGGCCTTCTTTGTTTTGCCGGTTTTGTGGTCTCCTGCCAGGAGGGCCACACAAAGACCCCCAGCGCGGTGAGCCCGACGAGGCCTGAAAACGGTCGGACGTGGTTGGGGTGGGTGGGGTGGGTGGATGGAGGTGGGGGGAGGGGTGTGGGATTTGGCGGTTTGGGGGGGGGAGTGGGGGGCATATGGTGGACACTTGGACCGTTCGCAGTCTCCTGACCCTTCCTTCTGACCTTAAAAATGGTTTGTCACTACCCCAAATCGTGGGGTGGCCCATTTCTTGAAGGGTCAGAAGGAGAGTCTAGGGTTGATGTCCGTTCGGTTGCCTCTTGAAGCCATCCAAATCATTGAACCCTATTTGAGAGGTCCGTCTTTCTTTCAGGAGCTGGTATCCCTTGTTTGGTTTGTAAAGGGAACCTCATAAGGAAATCCATCCCCATGTTGCAACCTCCTTCTTTACGCTATTTGTTTTTTTGGGTGTGTGGGCCTGCAAAATAGACGTGTGTCCATGGCACCAGTTCGGGCAGGGATCTGATCTTGTTTGCCCGCGTTGGGGCCATAGCTCAAAAATGGGTTGTACAAGGGGCTGTACTCCAAACCAAACACTTGTAGACCAAGTAGGGATTACAAGCCAATGCATCCAGTACCCCAAGCGTGTGGCTTGGGGTTTGTTTGGGTAGCTCCAAACTAAACACTTGGGGCTGGCCCTTGTGTTTCAGTTTGATCCCTTGCTGAAAGTGACAATGTTAGTGGGACATGCCATACATCCCTGTAGGCTCAATGCACAAGTCCAGGTATGGCTGGGGGTCTGGCAAAGTCTTTCTACGAGTGGCAAGGAAAACAATGTTGAGAACCCCTCAAACTCTTCAATGGACACAGCCCAAGGCCCTCCAGCCAAGCAAGCAAGCTTCGAAAAGAAACTTCGGGCAGAATCTTTCGAGGCCGGAACTTGTTCTCTCTGAAAGGCATTTGGGTCAGAGATTCTGCAGCGACCAAAGCAGTTATCATCTGGGCTGGGCGGTATTTGGACTTATCCTTCAGAATAGCAACCATCATTGACATGTTAAGTGTTGGGGGGGTCTGTGCGTCTGATCCCATCAACATCTTAAGTGTCACGTGAGTACTGATCCAACATCGGAATTCGGCAGGTTGGAGGTCGAGCATGGGGCTCAATAAGGCCCAGTGCAGATTAGCCCTGGGTCGCTGATCTCACGCTTTCATTTGCCCAGAAGGATGTGGTAGAACAAGGGACCCTTGTTTGGGGCTGATCAATTTCATAAGAAACCCAGCAACCCTGGCAGCACATCGCCCCGCAAAAGGAAGCTCACTTTAGATCGGCGCATCGCGGGTGTTTAAAGTCGCCCCCACCACCATGGGGGAAACAAGTCCCACCCCCCATACATTATGTGGCTTGCACCCAGCTAATACAACTGTGTGGGTGAGGGTTCCTTTATTGAGGGTACCCCCCTGCTATACATTACTAAGGGGTGGGATAAAATCACCCAAGGGGAAGCATATCCTTGATCTGTCGAAATTCCAGGGATCCCATTCCAACATGTTGATTTTCCTTTGAGCTTCCTTTGAAACAACCCCCCAACACATTACCCTCAAAAAAGCAAACCCATTTAGGGTCCCATGACAACTTCGGGTATGGGGTCCCAACTTCCGCTCGATAGGGTGGATATGATATGGGTGGTTTTGGGGGAACCCCCTTTGGCTTTTTTATCTTGTTTTCGCGGGGAAACCAAAAGGAACCCCCAACAACAAAAACACAAATCCACATGGAACCCCCTCACTTTCGCTGTTGAGTGAGTTGTTTTCTTTCATTTTTTCGCGGATCCAAAAGAAGATGAGACTAGGACCTCCAGTAGAGAGGTTAGAATAAGGGTACCTGGACCGCCGCAGGTGCTGGTTTTGAGAGAGCAGCGACTTTGAAGAAGTGACAGCATTATTGCCGTCACTGTGACTCGGAACCCTCCCAACCCACAAAGGGGTGAGAGGTCGGGCACCGATCGCTGGGGCACCTAGACGAGATCTTCGCGCCTTCGCCCAGCACCAGCAGCAGATCCGCGGCGGGCACAAAGCTCCAGCGCCCCTCCTGCGGGAAGCCCAAACGGCTGAGTTGGGATCCCTCAAGTTGGTCGTTTGGAAGGTGCCTCAGCTAAGATCATTTCGGGTTGGGCCTTTCCCAGCAAACTGGGTTGGACCCTTAAGCACACTCGTGGATTGTCCCGACCATTTTTCACTGGAAGAAATGGAAATGGCATTTTCATGATTTTGTAGCGAAGCCAAGAGAAGCCTAGACCCAAATCAAACCTGTTACATCCTAAAAGCAAAGCTAACATGGTTTTTCTTAGCTAAACTCTGAATGCACCATCTTGTCTCAGGATCCCTAAAATTGGGTGTTCGGGTTTATGGTCTTTGGGGGGTCCCGTTGATGCCCGCTTCCTTAAGTTGGGTTTGAAAGGTCATGGGTGAAGTGGGCCCTTTGAGGGCTGCTCTAAACCACTTGGGGTGGTCGTGTGTTGGAAGGTACCTCAGCTTGTCTCTTGATTGGTTGGTGGTTAAGGGGCTTCCCATTTGCCCCCAATCCCCAAACCACCCATGTGGGGGGGGTACCTGAGATACCCATGTCACCTGGGACAACTTAAAAGGATACGTGGAAACCAAATGGTCGAATCCCATAGCTGGCGGGCTTGATTTTTGTTGGTGCCGAAACCTTCTCGGCAAGCTGAATGCCTGGAGTCTGGAAAGACTTTCCGGAGCGACGCAGCAAGCAGTCCGAAAAGTCGCTCCTGGCTGGGATCCTGGAACATGCCAACAGCCTCCTGCACCTCAGCCCAAGTCTCTCACCCAGTGGTCTCCGCCCACCCCGGAAAAGCTGGACAAAATCCACTTCGCACCATTTTGGATGGATGAGATCCTTGGATGAACCATCTGCCAACCGGCGCGAAGACTTGAAGACACTGCGGGAAACACAGATGCACCACCCAGGCAATCAGAAAACACTGGAAAGCAAGCTTAAAAAACTACCAGTCAACGAGGAGCAAAAGCAACATAACCTGTTGGCCAGCGGGCATTTGTTAGACTAACGGGTATAAGACCCTGGCACGAGGGTAGTTCACCTGTACAACAGAAATGGGCCTCACATCCTCAACATTGACCTGTAAAAGCTGTGATCCATGAAACCAGCCCCAAAAAGTAGCAGTATGTGTGTATGGGTCAAAAAAATGAAACCACCAGGAACTAAAACAATCGCAAGTTTTTGTTGTCGCTTCCACTCACCAGGCCGACCCATTTTGGGGCCCTAAGATCAGAGGAGCCCGGAGACCTAGACACATTGGCGGATCTGCTGGCCGGGTGGCAGCCCGTTCGCAGCGCAGGCAATGCTCAGCAACCTCGCCGCTTCAAATCGATTTGTCACCCCCCCAAGCGCCAGGGGTTTTGTTTGCCTTTTTGTTGGTCGGATCCGAAGGGAAGATGACCAGAGTGTCCTGTTGGTTGAAAATACCTAGACTCTCCATGACCCCTTAAAAATGGGTCCATGGCCCAATTATTTTGGGTAACAACCCCAGTGTTTTAAGGGTCATGAAGACTCCAGGTAGATGGGTCCGTCTTTTGACCCAAAGCGCCCGGGTTATTTTTTCGGACCCAAAGAAAGATGACCAGGGTCGCGCCCTTTTTGGTTGAACATACGCGCGGTGGTTCTGCAGGATCTGAAACGGGAAACATGACGCTCAACCAGGAATCGCCATCTGTATTCAAACAAGATGACACCTATGCACATGACACTCAAACAAGATTTCGAGAATGGCTTGCTCCTTTGGGATTTTCCGCTTTAAGGGTGCGGGCCAGAAATCAGGTGGTGACACCTTTGAGTGGTAGGACTGCACTGGAACCGCCGGCATCTTGGAGGGTTCAACTTCCACCACTAGCCCCCAACAAAGGTCGATGTACAGGAACCAAACCACTTAGGCCAAACGGTTTCAATGGCAACATGAAACCGCAATGCGCGGTCCTTCCAGAAAGGCAATGAACCTGAGTGGAAGAGGACACCCTTTGGGGCGTCAAGCCCAATGCCTGGCATCAAAAAGAGCGAGAGGCGGCAAGTAGTGTCCATCAAGATCCCAAGCTTTGAAAGCTACCTGGAGTCTCCTTCTGACCCTTCAAAAAATGGTTGGTAATTACCCAAAATACCCAGATGCTACCGATCAATCTAGGGCCCTCAAACAGCCAGATTTTGAGACCCCCCAACACCTCCGGGGTGTCTAATGGAGGGGTTGAAAGTTTTAGGGGCCTGTGGGTTATGAGGGTCATGGACCCATTTTTCAATGGGTCATGGACCCATTTTTCAATGGGTCATGGAGAGTCTAGGTACACGTCTATTCGAATCCTCTACCCCCCCCCCCCCAACCACCCACGAGGAAAAGCAAATCAAGTACTAATAGCCACCATCTAGCTACGATCCTTTCTGTGCAGGACAGAGAAACACAATATTTTTCAGGAACCCCTCATCTGTTCGGTGTTGTTTTCAGGAACTTGGCTTCATATTGGGGTGCGTCTTTTTTGGAAGATAAACCAAGACCGATTTTTTGTTTGGGGTGCCAAATCTAAAAAGGGCCAGACCCAAATTGCAGGGACAAAACGGGCGCCCTGGGTTCCCGGAAAGCCCACCCTTTGGACATGAGATGTGCGCGCCTGACCCCAAGGCTTTCGACTTCACCGGAAGCCGTTGCACGTGTGCACGTGGAGGAATCTAACGGGTTCATGTGGACCCCATCTTCATCAACCCCAGTTTATTCACAGGGGGGTGTCCAGTGGGGAATCAAAGCACATCCCCCTATGAATACACCGGTTGGTTGAAATTCAATATGTTGTGAACATCAACTCATACTCATCATCATAGCAACAATACTGATACTAGGTCCAGGTGGTATCCCCAACAGCCCCGGTGCCACGTGTTTTTTCACCCGACGCTACTCGCGTCGCTTCGGCCTTTCCCGAAACCGATTTTCTGCGTTTCCGCTTCGCGCCTCGGCCCAGATGGCGATGCAGAGCTCCCCGACGCAGGGCTCCGCCCACACGGAGGGCCCTAAGGTGCCCTTAGGCAGCCACTCGAAGAGCTGGCGCCGCCAGCGGCGCAGCCAGTGGGAAGAGACCTGGGGAGGGTGGGGTGGGGGGTCCTCAAACAATTCTTAAAAGGCTTTGTGTTTTTTTGGGGTGGGGAAGGGGTGGGGAAGGGGTGGGGAAGGGTGGGGCGGGGGTGGTGGGGAGGTGGGTAGGGGGGAAGGTAAGATCTCCCCAACAATTGCTTGCCCAACACGTGTCCTAAATTTCCTTGGTACGGGAACCAAACAGCGGTGGTTGGGGGGAATGCAATGCTGTTTCTTGTATTGGTTTAATGCAACCTCAGGAAAACTGCTATAATTTGAACATACCATGGAGAGGCTAAAAGCAAACATAAGCAAACACGCCATCCAAGAAAACAGCGACAAAGCATGCATGAGCAAAACTGCGCAGTGACAATAACTAGCAGTGCCTGACAAAACAACAGACAATCGTTAAAAAAAAACTGCCCAACAAAGGCACAGCAACACGGAGGGGATGAGGAGGCTGAAACCATGAACAAGCACCAAACAAAAACCGACGCAGCTGTCTAGAAAGAAACACTTTCAGCGTTAGCAACCACAAGGCGATGTCAAAAATCAACAATCGAGTGCCCCTTGCAGGGACAGCACCACTTGTTCGAGCAACACTTTTGCAGTGCGTTCCTGCTCTTTCCGTTGCGCCGCCTGATATTCGCACCCACAGGCGAGCCCTTTTGGTTTCCCTTCAACCCCCACCCCTCCCCAAAAAAACGGGCTCAGAGCTTAGAGCGTCGAGAGTCACCCAACCAAACCCAACGAGAATTCTTTTTCGGGCGGTCCGTCGGCCAGCCCACCCAAACGAACCGATGTGTTTGTTTTTTGCTGGTTCTCAGGGAATGAGAAATGGAATGACCCCATAGACCATCCCGCTGGTGACTTCCCGGAGTCCTTCCCGCTGGTGATCGCACCGAATTAACACCCAAAGGAGTACTTCGCCATCCCCTGGGTTCATTCCATGTCTCATTCCAGGCCGATCGCTTGAGTTTTCCTTGGTTGACGTTGGAAGGGGAGCAAACATTTACTTCTTTAGCAGTTCAGTGGGGATTTCAACCACTAAACCACAATAAGCCAAAATGTAAAATGTGTCCCAAGAACAACCATAGGAAACGGACCACCAAAAGTGCTTGACGCCCATCCCTCAAGCCATGCTGCATGGACGCTTGGCACCACTGGATCGCTTTGAGTTGTTTGCCCAGTGGTGATAGATTCCCTTAGTGATAGTCATAGATTATATAGATTCCCTTTAAAAATCATCAGGTTAAAAAAAAAGAAAGTTTTACTAAAAACAACACATCTTTTCAGCAAATGGAAGTTGCATTTTTCTCCGAGGCGCGAGGCGCTCCTCGCCCTTCTCCTGCAAGGACGCGGCGCCCCCGGGGGTCCGCAGCATCCGCTGCTCCTTCTCCACCCGCGCGCGGCGCCTGGATTGGGATGGAGCGGGTTTCATGGGCCCCCCGGGAACCGGGGGGGGGGGTTCGGGGTTTCTGGCTTTCTGGTTGGTAGAAGGAAAAACGAGTGGAAGACATGAAGGCCAATGCATTTGTTGGTTTTGTTGTTGTTGTGTGTTGTCGCCCAAATCGGCAGGGCCCAGCAAGAGTTTCTGCAAGAAGTGGAAGGAACCGGTTTGAAGGCTAAAACGGAAAGTGAAAGAACACCCTCGCTTTGAAAAATGGGCTTGTCGTGTCAAAATGGGGCCAACAAAAAAATGTGGGGTTCCCTTTGGTTTCCGTTTCATCCAGCCCTCAGAAGGAAAATGTGAATCTTAGATTAATCCGGAGTACCTTGCCAATCAAGGGTGACTCCCCTATCTATGTTAAGGGCTTCCTCTGACTAGGCTCCTCTGAGGTAAGTGTTTGCTTTTAAGGTTTTGGACCCCTCCTAAATGGCGTCGGTGTCCCTTCAAACCGAGCCCAAAAAAAGGGGCGACCGCCTCACAAGAAGACGTACCACCCCACATGCCAATTGCATCACCCCGCCTTTCCTCGACCCTCTCCTCCCGCTTGCGGTCCTCATCATCCTCCTGTCGGGCCAGTGGACTTCCAGTGGACTTTATGAGTTTCCCAAAACAAGTAACGACTAGGTCCTGTAGAGAGGATAGAATAAGGGTACCAACTTTGTTCTGTAGTCTATTCAATTCTAGTGGGGGAACCCTCCCCCAAAAAAGGGGAGAGAAGGGCACTACTGGGGGACCTGGACAACTCCCAAAAACCCACCTGGCAGATTTGGAGATGCGTTAAACTAGGCAGGATCCGAGGTTTCTCTTTACACCTTGCAAAAAACGCATGCCATAAGAACAAAACGACACACCCCTATTTGTCAACCACCCCGAGCTTTGGTCGGGGATCCCTTTGATCCGAAGTGGTGCTGATTGAAAGGGCCGAGCCCGTGGGGCTTTCATTCGAGACCCAATTTCGTTGTGAATCCCTGCCTTTGTCTCGCCTTAGAAAAGTCCGGGAGAAAAGGGCCATGTTGTGGGCCAGGTTTCTCTTCTGAAGGGTTGAGGCAAGTTACAAGCAACAACCGGTGATAGCTGTCCTTTACAGGTTTGTTTGGCCAGAAATAGATGTCAGGGTTGTTTGGCTCATAGATGGTTTCCGCGGCTTTAGATTGGTGTTTTTTGTGTTCCCGGGAAACCCATCTCTTTTTGTGGGGGGTCACTTATGCTACCTGTCGTGGGCATGAGCCAAGAAAACTAGCATCACGAGTCCCACAACTTGGTAGGGAGGACGTGTGGGTGTGTTTTGAACGGTACCCTTTTTGGGTGGGTGACAAAAGGGACACCAAAAAGGAACACCGGCATTTTTGGGGCCCCCTAGTTTGAGACAAACTAAGATGGATATGCAATGTACCGCTGATGTCTTTTTGCCGGGTTTCCAGTCCCTCTCCCACGGGACACTGATTCTGCAGCCTGAGAAGCATAACTATATTTGGGGCTGAAGCCCATTGTGTCAACCCACATCTCACTGCCTGAGTGGATTGGCAAAAACAAACTATGAACTATGAACCATGTCTATTTACCACTAAAAGGGTTTTCCCAAAAAGTTCAAAGGTCAGGAACTCAGGGAGTGAGAAATGTTTAAGTGAATGGGATTTCTCAAACTTTTACCAACCAGGAACATCACCTTCTCTGTGGTACCAACGTGGGATTCGCCTCCATGACTAGGCAATTTGTCACAGGGACTTTCTGGGTGTGTTTTCGCAGCAACCCTAAGCTTCGAGTTCCAGACCACCACAACCATGTTTGTCAAACAGCGCCAGCCTCAATGCGGCTACAGCTTAGTAAGCCTTGGGGCCATATATCAGGCACCTTTTGCCCTGTGTAGGGAAACCCGCAACGGCTTGCCAAACGCGAGATGAACAAACGCGGAGTTGGGCAAACCTGGGCTGCCCTCAGATCCTTTGCAAAAAGTTTAACTTTTAGTGGGTTAAATGGAAATCTCCATCACTAAACACTAAAAGTCAAAAAGCTAACAGGATGGCTGGGAGCCACCAAGAAACCTGTCAAAAGCCGGTGTCCTTCTCTTGTTTCTCCTCCGCCTCAGTGATTTCCAATTTCATATGGCCCACGATGTGGGTCTCCTGAAGCATCCACTCCTTAGACCGCAAGCAACCCGGGTGCCGGAGTGGAATGTGGTAAGGAGAGCTGAGGGATGGTTTTCAGGCGCCTGGTTGCCAGCCATGCCCTGGTTCCCAGTGCCCTTAGAGTTTGAGACTTTAGAGATCTTTGGATAGGGGTACGTGTGACATGCCGTGTCCCACTACAGGTGTGAACTTGTAACAAGGCATAGCCGTGGAAACAACTCAACACGGCCGCGGCCTTCATAGAGTCTTCCTGGAGGGTTCCCTACAGGTCTCCTACAATAAAACCCACCACGAAACTTCTGGAATGGTCACACGGCCCGCCTTTTGAGACCCAAAACTGGTCGAAAAGGGTTTCGAACCCGCCCTCCGGTTCAAGTTAGAAGATCCGCTTTAGACAACTCAATGTTTAAAGAGGGAAGCAAAAGTAAAACAGGAACCTTGTGGGGTCCATGGGGTCCGCAATTTGAGGGAACATACAGCCGAAAGAGGCTTCTTTCTTACTGAGATGACTTGGGCATTCAACACATGCTGCGATTGGAGCTCGACCAACTGCAAACAGCTCCACGGTGTACTGTGTGCGTGTAGGCTTGGACGCCCTTAGGCTACCCGTGCAACGCAGGCACTTGCCTTCAAGCAGAAGCAGCACCTTTTCTGCCTGTGCGATCGTTTCCCCGGTGCTTTTCCATGCACACAAACCGAAAGAAAACACATGAAGCCACAAAGCTTCCGCAAATCTTCCGCGGAAGAAACACAACAACTTCCGCGAAGCCTTCCGCATGCTTATGCGCGTGTGGCGGTGCACATGTTGAAACAAATTCTCTCTTGCTACTACTTTGGCTTGAGGGCAAACAACCGCCGCTCAAATAAGCTGGCGCCCCAGGCAGGGGCAATGCACTTTGCAGGTTCGGTTCCCACTTCCCGAGTGGATGGGCCAAAACAAGTCCAAACTCTTGTTTGCCAGTAAAATTGTCTTCCCAACAAGTACAAAGTCCAGGAACTCAGGGAGTGAGGTTTATGTTTCTTTGATTCAGCAATTGATTGAGTTTACACTGCTCAATGATGTTGGACTTGCAGCGCCACAGCCAAGGCAGGGAGCGATCCACTCGTGCTACCCACAAACATGCAATAACGCACACCACTTTGTTAAGCCGCTCCTGTGTGTGAACGCTTCTGTCGCACGGCCGTTGCGAGCGAGTGAACGGCCGTTATTTGAGAACCACAAGTGACGAGGTTGCTGAGTCCAACAACAAACACCGGCTTCTATATTAAACTAGCGGGTCAACTAGTGGGTTAAATGGAAACCGCTCAACCCTAAAAGACTAAATAAGCTAAGGAACCGGACGGCTGGGAGCCCCCAAGCAAAGTCAATTCAAACATTGGCCGGACAAAACACCCTCCGCCCCTTAAGGTGGCCTTCCCACCTCTCAGCTCCATGTTGGGTTGTTGGGCAGGCAAGCAAAGACCACCGTGTTCCCAGCCGGGAAGGAGACTGAACAAGCCTCCCCCAGTGGATGGCCTACAAAAAGCTTCCCCAAACTTGCTACTTACGGTCCAACCCCAAACTTACCCCGTAAAAAAACTCCCTGCGCCCTGGGGAAGTGTTCATCTTTGACAGACATGCTCATGTGACCCCCAAAAAGTTGAGAAAAGTAAAAAGTTTTTAAGAGGTAAGCAAAAGTGATACCAAAATGGTGCAACCAGTGGATGGCCCACTTAAAGTTACTTACCACCAAAATGGTCCAACCCCAAAAGTGACTCAAGCCCAGGAACTCAGGCGATGAACCGCAAAGCTTCCCCGCTTCACACCGAGTCTCGGTGATGGGCTTGCCCTCATAGACGCCCGGCCTGCGGTCGAAATTGGCTGAGCCGGGCTCCCGATGTTTCCCCTGAACGTCACCCTGCCAGGACACTGATTGTGGCCCGATGACATGTGACACATTCAAGCCCAGAAATCCAGATGAATCTCATTTTACTTTGCCCCAATTGAGGCTTAAAACCACAAAGACACAAACGTAAACTCCTGTCGAATGTACAGAGATTCGGGGCACCCACGACCGAAAATGGCTGGTTGCTACCATCTCGATCCCCTCAAATTGCTTGCAGGAGTTGCTTGCACCAAATGACATGTAACATAGGGAAGCCTGGATAAAAAAAAAAAAAAGTTAGCTAGTTAGCTTCCTTGTGATTTCCCTTTCAATAAATCCAGATGGCCGTGTGGGTTTTTAGGGAACCCTCTGTTGGTTTTAAGGGGGCACCAAAAGGAAAACCATCTCTCTCTCTTTCTTTCTTTTTCTTTTTTTTTTGGGGGGGGGGGGCGAAAAAAAGACAACAAAACAAAAAAAAGCACGCCCAAATGGACGATCCCCCCTTGTGTCTTCCTTTTTCCCCGGACACCCATGTTCGCATTCTCATGAACCGCGGTGCTAAAAGGCGCGCCTCATGCTGATGAAGGCGACGCCCCGACTCTTCTTGGTGCGCTTGTCCCGGAGCACGTTGCAGGACACCACGGTGCCAAAGTTCTGGAAGTACCTCACGGCTCGTCTTGGGACCCAAGAAGGCGGGACCCCCCCCAAAAAAGAAAGCCTTTTGTTTGTCCTTTTGGTTATATTTCAAACCACAAACGCGGTACCCAGAAGGCCTCTTGCTTGTCCTCTTGCTTAGTTGTTTCAAACCACAAACGGGTAGCCTCAATAGAACGCCACGCACACCAGGATCCCAAGGAGCGGTTTTTTTCTTCACCCGGTCTCGCCTTCCTGCAGCCCGGGTATTTTGGCCCTATGTGGGCAGTTTCAACCAGAAAGTCGCATGAGCACAGCTCTCCCGGCGCGGCTCTTTCGGCGTCGCTTGGATTAAGTGGACACCTCTTGGGCGAGATCTGAGTTTCTTCACGAGGCTCCGATCGGCTTCGGCTTATGGAAGACCCGACCCCTCCATTAGACACCCCGGAGGTGTTGCGGGGTCTCAAAGCCTGGCTGTTTGAGGGCCCTATATACATTGGGAGCCTCTGGGCAGGGAAAAACAAGGCGCCCACCCAAATCCTGTTGAAAGGACAACCCGGGGCATCTCTTTGTTGTGTTTGTTACAACCCTTTCTTGCGACAAGTGGGACTCAAACACATCCTGGTGGCTACGCTGGCATTTAATGGGAATTTGCCAACGCAGATGAGTCCACTAGTGAGTGTAGTGGGCAAGTTTACTTGTTGGGCCTTAAGCCAGGAAGAAGTCTGCAAACAAAACAAGCGAACTCATGAACGTCACAGGGCAAACATGCTAGCAATTGTGTGTCACTTGCCCAAAGGGCCTGGAAATACAAGGGTAACCTCCGACCTTGACTAAACATAGACACCGTGGACCAATACGGGAAACCAAAAGGCCAAAAGATCGATCTTTTTTTGGACAACTGAGGTTAGCCTCCATAGGCGGCCTTTTCGAAAATGGATGGCCCATGGTTAAACCACCAGGTAAACCAGGGCCCTCTATTTTTCAACCTAACCAAAAAGGCCGCGCATCGGGTCTGTTTGTTTTTTGGAGTTGCTACCTGTTAGCCTAAACACAAACAACAACAGGGTTTCGGTAAACCGAAATCCATTTTTGGGGGGTGGCCCTAGACTACAGTCGACCCCATACTAATCAACCCAGTCTATTGGGGGAGTTCCCCTCCAAAAGTGGTCTGATTCTCCACAAAACCCGGTCGGAACAGGCCCCGCATTAACAAACTGGGGTTTATTCATCCGGGGTCAACATTACATGGGTGTCTTTTTAAAACGAACCCCAAAGAAACAAAAATCAAGAAAACACAAATAATAGCTTAATATGCTGGTGTTCTTTTGGCTTGAATTCTTCGCGGCTGCAAAGGGTCCTTCCTGTGCCCTGTTCTTTTGGCTTCCCTCTATCTGCCTCTATGCCAAAAAAAGAAGGAGAAGCAGAAGAAGAAGAGGAAGAAGGGGGGAAAAAACGAAGAGGAAGGGGAAACCCAAAAAAAAAAACGTTAATGTGCTGGTTTTCTTTTTTGGCTTCCCATGCTCCAAAGGGCTTTCCGCTTAAACCCCGGGGCCCCCGGCTCCAAGAGCTCTTCTTCCGAGACCTGCCCCGCGTTCCGCAGGATGAAGCGGGTCCCCTCCTCCTTCGCCGCGTGTTCGTTGGGGCGTTCTCAACGCGTTTTCGTTGGCCGAAAAACGAGGCGGCCACGGAGTCGTCCAGTGGCATTTTCGGTCCCTGGAAAACAGCAGGGTGATAGATTCCCTCACAATCACTATTGGAGTTGCGGGGCGCTTTTTCAAAAAAATGGAAAAAACACCTAGGGGGGGTACACATGTTGATATTGAAAAAAAATGGGCAAGGTCTCCACTAACTGATACACCATAGGATCACGATTTATTGGTACTGATCGAGGACTTTCCCTTGAAATCCAGCGGTGAAATCAATTCCCTTTCCAGCAGGGGGACATAACAAAACAAAGGTCTTAAGCAAACGGAGGGAGCTTGTCCGGGGAAAATGGTTAGGTGATTGTTTTTGGAGGACCATTCAGGGATTGTTTTAAAGTGAAAGCAGGAAGGAACCGCCGGTTCTACTTATGGAAATCCCTCAGTATAAGACAAACCAGTATTTCCATTCTGTGAGGGATTTGACCATCATGGCCATTCAAAGGGTCAGTCTCCCTATAGTGGGGCCATGCTTGGAGGTTCACCGAAAAACTGAGACAGACCTGCTCGACAATGAACAAACCTGGGGTCTCCAAGTACATTGTCTGTCCTTTCTTCTGGGTACCTGTCTTTGCTGGGTTATGCTGGGTTTCAAATGGAAATGGAAACCAAAAGTTTGGAAGGGGTTCAACCTTAAAGCAGTGGAACAGAGTCAGAACAAACATGCAATTGTTGGGTGTACGCATGCGCCCTGGTTTTCTGGGTCTGAAATTAACTTGTTGCGAAATGGAAGTCTTGAGCCACACGGGCAGTCGGATCACACCCCTGGCATCCCAACATACAACTTGCAACCCAAAGGCCAAAGACTTCTGCCGAGGTTTCCCTGCTGAAACTGTTCACCAGGAACACTCAGGATACCCTTAGTTTGCGCTGTGTTTAAAGCAGAAGCCACGTAGCAGGAAACCCTTCCAGAGACAAACATTTCACCAAGGGGTCCTGATGTGTGCGTGTGTCCCCTTGAAACATCACCAGGAAATTCACTGAGATTGAATTTTGGTTTGAATTGGACTCGATCCTTTTTGGGGAGATGACGATTTTTGGGGAAGCCACCAAACAACATCTAGGGGGTGATTCCTTTGCCATTTCTTTTGAACCATCCTTCTTTTCAAACACCGGATCCGTTTCCGGGTTTTGCAAACGGTTTCCTGAAAAGATTCGGATCCCTGGAAAGAATGGAATTGGAAGGTAGCCCTAGAAAGCCCCCCCTCTCAGCAAGAACCCCAAGGCTCATTTGACCCCTCCAATGCTGCCGAGCCCAATGAAAAACCCAGACCCCTCAGAAACCCCTTGAAATCCATCCATCTTCAGACCCAGAAACACGGGAAAAACGACAAAAGGGAGTGCTGGACCTCTGGACCTCTGCTTCTCTTCTCGGCCTTTTAGACCACCTAGGTCCTCCACATTTGAGAGGTGAGGGTTTAGGGTATCCCGACTTTTTCTTCTCTAGTCTCTTTTCGTGAGTTTCCCTCCCCCCCCAAAAAAAGGAACGGTAAAAAAGACGGGCGCCTAGCTGGGGGCCTTTCGACCACCCGCAGTGTCACTCCTGCTGCTTGGACTGCTTGGGTTCCACCTTCCGCTTGGGACTCCTGAGATGCACCTGCTTGCCTGCGCCTTCCCTCCGTTTTGGGTCCGGCATCATCCCCGCAAAGGCCTTAAACGTTTCGGGTTTTGGAATGATTGTCCCCCTTTTCAGTAAGTGAGGGGTTTGTCAAAAGTGGGTTTGCGGAATGGGGTGTGTTTTTTTGTTTTTGCGGATCCCCAAAGTGCAAAGAGGCGACGTGGACGTGGAGTGCCAAAATGGAAGCCCAAAGAGCGACTCGAGACAACGGAACTCGAGTGAGGTGTTACACTCAACCCCCGGTCTAAGTTAGTGTCCCTGTACACCAAGGTTTTAAAACAGGTACGCTCACAAAAAAGCACCCAATTCGTACGGGTGGGCAAAGTGCAAAGAATCGACTAAATCATGGCCGAAAGCAGAAATCAAGTGGAGGTTGATTCGAACAGTGTGGTTTGAGAATGTCCAAACACGTGACAAGAGGTTCCCCCCATCGTCTCCAGGCCATGGCGTGCTTCTTTTTGAACTTCTTTGGTGCCCTTGGAGGTCGTCAAAATCGATGAACCAACTGCCGGGTTCCGAGATTCCGGGCAAACATCGCTGGAGCGGCAGCGTCAATCAAGAAAAGTCCGTACAGCAAGCCAAACGAAAAGCCAAGGAACAAAGGGAATGGCTATGTCACTGTTGTACCCTCGAAGGACGGCCTTTTTCATGAAACAAACAAGAAATCCGGCACCTGTCCGGATGGGAGCAGGAGAACTTTTCGGGGTTGGTCTGTTACACCCTCCACATGCTGGTGTCCCTAATGTATCCAATACTGATTCAAAGCCATAGTAGGGAGCCATAAGAGGGATGTGTGTGGCCCGTGATGGTAATCTATATTTAGTCTACCCTGCAGAAACACAGTTTTGGAGGAAACCCCAGTGGAGTACTCACTAATGGTCACGTTGCAACGGGTCGCAATGGCTCTCCTTGCTATGACTCAGAATCAGTCTAATATCCATCAATGTACATGTAAGATGGATTGCATACTATAGCCCCAATTCAACCATGTTTTCTTTTAAAGATAACAACTGGACAAAAACACTGGGTTTTATAGTTCAAAACAAGAAAGCATGAAACCCTTTCAGCCCAAACTCAACCATAGGCAGCCCCCAAAAGAAGCACACATTCTATGTTATGTCATATTAATGGAAATCACCGGGCTTAAAAAACCATTCAACTCTTTTAAACCCAAAGTCAACCAGGCGGCCTCTTTAAACAAAAAAAAAAAACGCGAACCGGATGTGTTTTTGTTTTTGTTTGCCCGTCGCAGGCCGAGGCGCCGGGAGCGGGACCGGTCCCGAGCGTCCTCCCAGCAGCCTCGGGGGCGGGGGGAACTGATAGACGGGCCGTTGGAAAAACCCAAACACCCAAACACACAACAAACACACAAACACACAAACACAAAAACACAAAAACACAAAAACAGACAACTCACGCAAACACAACAACCACACAAACACAAAAACAAACAAACAGACAAACAGACAAACAGACAAACAGACAAACAGATGTTAGGGGAGTTGATCTTAGGGACTTGATCTTAGGGGAGATTGACTTTGAGATTGATGTAGGATACAACTAGCTTTCTTCTAGGTAGAAGGGCTGACTTGTGGTGAGTTGATTTAGGACACAACTTGTTTTTAGGTGGTTGATGTTCAAGGGACACCCCTCTAAACAAGATGTCCGGAATACAACTTGGGGGAGCCCCAAAGGGCCTTTGCATGATGACGGCTTCCTGTTTGTTTTCCAAACCAAAGAAAACACGCAGGTTCATGATAGCTGTGGATTGATCCAAAGGACCCTAGTCAGAACCCCCTAAAGTAGGTCCTGACCAGAGGAACCACCCCTGATTAGTCCGGTCCGGATAAACTTGAAGACAGCAGCGTTACTAGGTGCTCCAGATTCGGGAGGTTAGAATAAGGGTACTCGATTGTGTTTCTGTTTTGTCTATTTTAGTAGGGGAACCCCTCCCAACCAAAAAAGGGGTGAGAAACCTAGCTGAAACAGACAACAACAAGTTAACATAGACCTCAACAAATCCCGACCCTGGAAGATAATCCTTGAATCACAGGACGGCCTTAAAACCAAATGTCGTTGGCAAAAAAAGAAGCCGTCAAGTGGATTTGGATTTCAACAACTAAACCGCAATAAGGAAACAAGTGAAATGCTTCCCAACAACAAACATGATTTCCGACCACCATGCCCAGGGTCCCTGTTTGTAGTGTAACCCCACGTTTTGTGTTGTTTGAATTGTTTCCACCCGAAATCGCCAACCACCTAGAAAATGGGGTGAATGTGTGAAAGAACTGTGGGACACACCGGAAACTCAACTCAATCAAAGTTTGCCAAGGCCTTCCATGGTGTGCTCACCAAAGGCGGTTGAACAGGTCAACACATGTTGTCACACTGTTGTGTTTCGAAAACCGGAAAGGTCACTGTAAAGGTTCAAACCCAAAAGCAGATACGCGCTTGCCACTGATTGAGATGCATAAGGGGTAAAACCTTGGACGTGAGCTTGGACACCAACCAGGGTAGGGGCTAGTTCACCGGTGGCACCTGTGGCCAGCTACATGTGCTAGCAAATAATAGCAACATGTCAGACTGTCACACCAACTGGATATGCAAACGGCAAAAAAAAACAGGGTAGCCTTCATGGGCAGTGGTTGGATTCCAAGAAGCCAATGTTAGTGAACCCGGAGGCCACACCTTTGGTGTGGGTGACTCAGCAAAGGTGTTGCCATGAACCAACAGGTCAAGCAAACGGCAAACGCAGCTAGAAAACAACAACCATTGAATTTTATTCCTTTTCAGGGTTGACCGCGTTTTCTACGGGGACACCGTCAAACACGGAAGACCAGTGCCCAGTGACCCCGGTGAAAAAAACGAAAACAACGGGAGGGTTTCTTTGGCTTCACCGCTGGAACCCGCGCGAAAAGCGGGTTAAAATTGGAAACCCAGCCACTAAGCCAACCAAATAGGCTTAAAAGCTAAGGAACCGGATGGCTGGGAGCCGCCAAGGATTGAGGAAAGTAAACGAATGCCACAAAGCTATGCTTGGCAATGCTCTAGTGCCGCTGAGCAGAAACAAACATTGGCCATGGGGGGAAACACCAGCTTGATTCGGCACTTCAGCCAACAAGGCCACCACTCCAGGTCTGGGTTGAGGAGGGCGAGAGAGCCACTGATAAACCAAGAAACCAAGCAACTAACGTTCGCTTTAAGAACTTGCGGACACCAAAATGGATTGAGGAACCAAAGCCCAGTTCATGTCTTCAGTCCCGGTCCAAGCTGGCGTTTACGTTGACTGGAGTGTGACATCAGCTCACTGCTCCACGCTCGCCCCTCATTTGGGAAGTCAAGCAGCGGCGCTTCACCTGCGCTAGCAGCTGCCGGTACCGCCGCAGCTCTGGAAACTGCTCCTTGGAGGAGAAAATCAGGTTTTCGCCCCGGCTGCAATTCGCCATAGCGATGAACTAACCAACAAACTGGGGGGTTCACCGGGGTTCATGTGTGTATATAAATATAGAGAGAGAGAGGTATGTCAACTATTACAACAATATCATATCAATTGATTTCCATATTTTACGTTATAGGTTTGTTTCATCTGGACGCACGCAAGCTCAGCACCTGGAGCCGTCCGAAAAAAAGAAGCAAACAAAGGAAAAAACGAAAAAAGAAAAACCAAGGAAATTGTTTGAAAAAAAAAGCAGAAGAAACACAAAGAAGAGGAAACAAAAAAACAAAATCGTTTCGTTCTCATCCGTCCGAGGGTCGAAGACCGGCTGCCAGGGGCTCCGCAGAGCCTTCGCCCCGGGCCGCGACATCTCGAGCTGCGCCACGCGGGACAACAAGGTCACGAAGTGCCTCAAATCGGTGGCGAGGCGCTCAGTCTTTTGGTGGATGGTGCTTTGCTTCTTTTTCTTTTCTGGTTTTAAAGGGAAAAAGACATCGATGGTACTTTCCTGGCTGTTGATTTCACGGAAAAGACGATCGATACGCAGGAAAAAAACAAGTTAAAAAAGAGAACTACCAGGAAATTCATGGAGAATGAATCTCCAGGCTTTTTGATTTCTGGTTTTCAAGGGAAGCCTACAGTCAATCCGAACTCCATGTTTTGGGCGGCTCCTCTTTTTCGAGGATTTGGACCCACGAACTGGCGATCGTCTTGGTGTTTGGTTTACCTTAGAATACCCACAAGCAGGGCCTGTGTTGGTTTGATGGTGCCCTGTTGCTTGGGGGGTTGAAGGGAAACTACCGGAATTCCGCCATCCATTTTTGGTTTTCGGGGACCCCCGAAAAGGCAAGGTGTTCCTTTCGGTGTACATTTACAACCACAAAAACATGTAGGTGCGTTTTTTTCCAGGGACCCACCTGTTTGTTGGTTGTTGAAAGGGAAATCATACCCCACAAAATCGAGTTCTCTTTTACCCAGGTGCTCCAATCCGATGGATTTCGGGACTTCCTTCGAGCGGCTCAAACGAACGGCGGTGTTCACACGAGCCACTCCACCCCCGGCATCTGGGCCCCGGGCCCCTGCTGTGGCCGCGAGGCCGCCTCGAAACCTTCCCGCAGCGCCTCGGACCTCGGGTCTCGGGTGTTTTGGCCCCCGGAAAGGGCCGGAGAAGGTTTAAGAGGCCGAGGAAAAACGCCAAAATGCTGCGAGCCTCCGAAAGAAAAAGGAAAAAAGAGCATCTTTCGGGTTTCTTCCAAAAACCAATCTGCCAAACACATGCCGGGATCGAGTTTCTTCAAACAAACAGTGCCTTGATCCCCCCAAAAAAGTTGAAAAATCGCGGGCCTTTGGCTGATCCTCCATTTGGTTGCTTGAGCGCCGGCAGAAGCCACCGGGCTTCTTCCCCCCAAAAAAGTTATTGTGCCGCGTCAATTTGTTATACTTGGTGATCTGACCCACTTATATCCGGCTGCTTCTACCTCGTGTTGCATCCAATTTGGCATGTTACCCCAAAACTGTTTCCGCCCTGCGTCTTGCATGTTGCCTTCTGTAAAGGCAATGCAGTCGCTCATGTGGCTGTTTCTCAAAATAGAGGACCCTTTTAGATGGCTCAAAAAGAAGCCAAAAGGAAACCACCTACCTGAGTCCCCAATTTTGAGGAACACCCATGGCCCATGTGGGTTCATACAATCTTTCACTGTCCTCCAAATTTGTTTAAGACCCCTGGACAAAATATGTCAGTAGTGAAATTGTTTCCCTTTAAAACCAACAGGGCAAAATACAAATAAAAACAGTCTCAAGCAAATGGAAGGCCGTGTGTTCCAAACAACGCCAAACACCGACCTCGTCGCCCCCAGCCAAGCCGCCCATAAAAGTTCAGCAGTGACCGGGAGTCGTTGCCGTCAAACCACTCCTCAGCACTCGTCGGTCCCGTCTCTTCGGCTTCGGTTTGGGTTCTCTCTGTGCCCTGGGAAAGCAACGTGGGGAATGTCTTCCACGAAGGGGCGGGCCTTGTCTCCCAACGAAACTGAGGACAAAGAAATTGGCTTCAAGCACTTTTCAGTACTCCTTGATAGGTGGGTGGAGGTTCAAGAACGCCCCAACCTCGGCTTGTTTTTGCCAAGATCCGTTTTGCAGGACATCAAAGCCCCCCAAAAAGGGATTTGGAGGGAATCTTCTTAGAACGTCCGGATTTCCGATCAAGGGATCGGATTGAAGCTTTCTACTTAGATGTTCAACCTAAATAGGCGGTGAATCTATCAATGACTACGTCCTCCAGTAGAGAGGCTAGAGCAAGGGTGCCCTTTTTTGTCTGTAGTCTATGGAACCCTCCCAAAACAAGGGTAAAAGGGCACTACTGGGGGACCTAGACGAGGTCTATCAGTCGAAACTCAATCCACCCATGTTGTCCAACTTCCAATATTGGCTATAGCCGGTTACTGGCAATTGATTTCACTTGTCAACACAACAACCAGCACAGCACAGAAAGGTGTCCCATGCCACAAGTAAAAGTAAGCAGGCAGAACATCCAAGTATGTGTCAAAACGGCACAGCCACAAATTGTGGTCCCTTCCCTTTGGTCTCGCTTTGTTGCAGCCCAGCTGGCTATCCTACAAGCACATCCATGGTCCAAGTCGGCCGATAGGTAGGTAGAAAGGGAACCGAATCCAGTGGACTTCAGGTTGGCAGACCTCGACCTTTCGCCAAAGTCACGGGTCCCACCCCTGTGAAACACCCCCAGAAACCGTGAAAAGAATGACCTCTGGATGGGGGGTCCCAATCGTAGGTGGCCTTTTGGACAAAATAGATGGGTTTCTCTGGCAAATGGGACACAAGCAAACCATCCAAACCAGGAATCGCCCTCTATTTTTCATGCAAACCAACCAAAAAGGACGCCTATGGTCCCAATACAACCCCCATCTTCCGACTTTGAAAGCCCCCAGAAACGGTCAAACTCATGACCTCTGGATACGGGGCCCCATTTTTGTTACGCCTTGGCCAACTTTTTCGCCCAGAGCGCTCTGAGGATCATGTGCGGCACCAGACCTTGCCAGGCGGGCAAGTAGGGTGCCCGCGTCACCACCTCAGCCACAGGAAGGTGATGGCAACCTTGCCCTACCAAGTTGAATTCAACTCATTGTTGCGCACTCAAGCCGGGTGAAGTTGTTTTTGGCCCCCGGCCCCCTTGAAAAATAATATGTATATATATATATATATATATTTGTTTAAAAACACAAAACAAATACAAATGACAAAACAAATACAAATGACAGACATAGATATTGCAGTTCATGGGTACCAGGCTCAGAGCTACCTAGTTGGACACACCCAAAAAACTCAAACGAATGGCTTCATCCCAACTTTTCGGGGCATCCTCTCGCCCTCAGTGCCCAGCGGTGCCCCGCAGCATCGGCGGGATCTGCCCTGCGGGTCGGGGGTCGAATTCGGGCCCCTCGGTGATTCCGGCTCCATGTTCACAAATTTCTGAGTCACAAGGCCCAAATCACGTTCGTAAACGTGCTTTTTCTACCACCCAATTGGCCCTTACCCCAAAAAAATGTGCGGCAACTCAAGAAGTGAGGGTGTGTTCGGGTGGGTCAGAATGCAAAGCCTCCAGTTTGCACCGTTGGACCCCAGCAAGCGTATTTCCACTTGTTCACTTCTTGCCTTTCCATGTCCCGGGAAAAACCAACCAAGAGGTCCGGCAGTGATAGATTCCCCTTAATACCAACAGGAGAGCACAAGAAACACATCTCAGGCAGATGGAAGTTGTGCTTAGGCATGCTTTCCACCGATCCTTCTCAGAGAAAATCCCGAAAAGCCGTAGGGTTTGCCGTGGATTCTCAAAAACTGTATAAGTGGAAACCAAACATCGCACAAAATGCCCATCGGCAAATCTAAGTGAACATTTGGAGGGCTACATGAGTCAGTCTGCAAGGTTTAAGGTTTCAAGCAAACGGGGCAAGTGTGAGATGGGTGCCTTTTTTAGGGGACCCCTTGTTTCCCTTTTGGCTCCGTTTGAAACCAACCAAAAAATTGATACGTTCAAAAAAGACTCTTGGCTTTACGCAGAGTTCCGGTAAAAACTGTCGAGGGGTCGAAGCACCCTTTCAGGATGGATTTTCAGAGGCATCTGGTTTTCCCTGTTTCTTACCCTGCAAATAATCGCGAGAAAACCAAAAAAGGTTTTTTTGCCGGAACGCTAAAAGTCATGCTGTGGTTTGTTGAGCACTTCCAAGGGGTCTTCAACCAAACGGTTGGATCGAACCTGGTGATTCTTGGGCCCCTCTATATATCATGTCCTGAACATCCTGGTAGCTCCACAAGGCCCCGTCTTTTACGCTTGGCTGGATCCTCCAGCCTTCCCTTCCGAGCTTCCACCTCCCCGGCCAAACGTGCAGAGGGCTTGCCGATCCGATCTTCTGTCATTCATCCGGGGTCTACATTGGGGGGCTCCTGGACGGCCATGTTCCTCTGAAAAGGCGCTTTCCATGCGTCTTGTCTGGGTCCCAATCCTGACATATTCCTACATTGACCCCCTCTGGAATCATATATGTCGGGCCGTAGCTGCAGCCCGCGAAGTTTTGAAACCCATGGCATGGTGCCCAAACAAAATGTTCTTTGCAGCCCCTCCCCAAAAAACAAATGAAACAAACACAAAAACAAAAAAACATGAACAGAACCAACCAAAAAACCTTAAAATGAAAGATGAAGGGAGGGACAGTCCCCTGCCTTCGCACATGAAGCCCAACACTGCCAGCAGCAGCCGCGCGCTCTCTGCAAAGGCAGCACTCTGCGGGTCCTGAGGGCTGCTCGCATCATGGGCGTGAGTCTCACTTTCTGAGTGGATGAGGCCGGCTGTTTTTTTTGTTTTAACCACGAGAATTCTAGGAAACCGCTTGGATGCGGTTTTTGTGGATCCACCCCTGTGGGATATTAAAAGAGTACTAAAAGAGTACTAAACAAAAAAAAAACTAAAGGGGGAAGAACGCATCCAAACCGTTTTCTAGAAGAATTATCTTTTCAAGAAAGTGAAGGGTCCCAACAAGCCTTCTTACACAACTTGTGTTCATTCAAAACAAGGGGAAACTCAACATGAAGGTTGTTAGACATATGTGCGCGGCTCTTGCGAGTACCACATGATTGCTCCTTTGTTCCAATCGCCTGATGCTGGCTAACCCTCAATCTTGGCGTCCCTTAACGGGGGATCCGGGATCGCGCTAGCAAGGTCTCGACCGGGCAGGTTTGGGCAGTTTTCGGCGGCAACCGCGCAACATGCTAAGCCCTGGGTTCGAGCACTCGCGAAGCCAGGCTGGGAGCAGGTTTCTCTTCACTGTCCGATGATTCAGGCACTTGCTCATCGAGAAGGTCACGCTGGCCATGGGACTGACACTCTTGCATGATCTTGTCTCGCGCAACCAAATAGCAGTCAATGACCTCAGAGCCGGCGGCAAAGTGCTTGAACTTGCCACACGAAGAAGCAGCGGCTGCATGTAAAAGGCTGCGTAGCCAGTGGCATACCAGCAAAGGAGAGCATTGGGTTTGGAAGGCAGTCGCTCCGTCAAAGATTGCTCCCTGTCAGCTGCGCCTTCTCATTTGTTGTCGTTTTGAAACATGGTTTGGGGCACAGGTCACTTTGATTGAATGAACTTCTCAGTCGCGATCAAGCAGTTTAGGTTCAATCCAGTGAGTTCCCAAAAAAGGCAATCGGGCACCACTGAACGGCTAAGGCCTAGAGCCAAGCATACTTGACTTTGAGTCTCTTAGAAAGTGGCCAATTTCCCTTTAAACCCAGGAATGTGCCACCAAGCCCTGCCCTGTCATTCTCTCCAAGGCTTGCTTCAAACACATACCCGACCTGTTTTTCAAACACAAACCAAACTGTACTAAAACTGCTTGAAACCCAGACCCGTTAGTGGATCGCCGTAAAGGGCTTTCTGATCAATGAGTTCCAACACACGGGTTCCCTTCGGATGCCTACATGATTGCGGCTTGCACAGTGGTCGAATCTTCAGGTGTTAGGACTTGTGGAGAAGCGGGTTCCCTGAAACACGTGGGAAGCCAAGGTTCTTCTTCCCCTGTTTAGGGGATCAAAGGATCCCCGGACAATCATTAGGGCACGGTGCAAGGAACTACTGGAACGCCTTGAGGGTTGAGGTGTTAGCCATGTTGGGGGCCAAACTTCTAGCGCAACCAAAAGATTCAGCAGGCCCGGGGTGTCCGAGAACACTCACGCGCGGGTTTCCTTGTGAATTGTGTTTAAAGGAACATCCATCGTTGTAGGGGGGACACAGGCCCCTCGCTTGGCTCAAGCGAAAGATCGCTCCTGACGCATCTGCTCTGTCAGCTCACAGCCCAGCACCGCCGTGGCCCTCGGACCCAGAAAAAAGTTCAGGGCAAAAAAAGATCGGCGATCCACGTGGAGGGTGGGGTGGGTCGGTGTGGGTGGGTTGGAACTGCCTTTTGGTAAAGACTTGGGCTCCTGCCATTTCGACACCTCCAAACACAACCTGCTTTACAAGGCGTTTTGTATACATATATATATATTTATATGTGCTCACCCCGTCCCTCCCATGATCCACGTCCGTGTTTGTTGGACATGCTTGTGCAACATTTTTGTTGTTCCCGGAACTTATCTTGAAATGAGGACTGGACAGCATCAAACAGTACAGCTGGGTGAGCATTATAATATAATATCAACATGGTATCTACCTACCTACCTACCTACCTATCTATCCATCTACCTACCTATCTATCTATCTACATCAGCTGAACGCGATTCCTTAAACTGAAAAAAGGGCCCCCTTGTCAACGCCTGGAGAGGCTCGGTGGCCCTCAGGTTAAAGCGGGGGCTCCGCCGACCAAAACGACTTGTCGGGTTCTGGTCATCCTTACGTTTCGAACGAGCTCCCCAAATGCCTTAAGGATCCCCCACAAACGAACCCCAGGTTTTGCTTGACAGTCTGCTTGGGATGGGTTTTTTTGAGCTGGGAAACACCGTTTGGAAAGCGTACCTTCTCTTCACGCAACCCCACTGCCCATACCTCGGGGGAAGGAAAACACACAAGCCGGGGATTGCACGCTGAAACATCTGGGCCGATTTGGGCAAACGAAACGGAAACGGCTCCTTGTGCGCGAAACAAATCACTTTTCCCGGGGCCGTCAATGAGTGTCTCTTTCAAGGTTGGACCCCCCAAAATGGGGCGGTTATCCTCTTGGATTCCCTTTAAATCCACAGGAAAGGAGCACCCTAAAAAGAAGAGCACCCATTTGCTACCACTTTCAGAGATGCACGCCCCATGTTAGTGGAAATCCGATGCGGTTTTGATAAGGAGACTGGCGTTTGGGAGATGCGAGAGCAACCCAGCAAGGAACCGCCCTTGGGGTTTCCTGCCTCCCTCATTTGGACACGACATGGCCAGTTTCAGGAAACAAAGGTCAATCAACTGCCGCTTCTGTGTAATTCCAACAAGGAGTTTGAAGCACTCGTGGATACCCCGAGCCCAGAAGAAGCAGCCCCATGTTCAACCGCGCAGGAGGGCTAAATTCACGGGTACGCGAATTGTTGAAGTCCTTCAACAACCCTCAGCTCGTTGCTCAAACTGAAAGTGCTGCTTTCTTTGCCTCTCTCTCTGTTTCTCTCTCCATCTCTCAGCGCTCTCCCCCTCTCTTTCCACACATGCCGGGGAAAAAGGGGAAGACTCCGTGCGTTGGCCAGAAAAAGTCCCGAACTCTTGTGTTTGCCACTCTGGAGTTCCCAAAAAAGCGAAGTGACGACCTCAGGGAGGTCTCTTGGTGGCTCAAACAAGACCTACAGTTTGCCCCCGGCTCTTTACTCGCACCTTGGCAACAAAAGTCCAGTGATGGATGTCCCTTTCAAACCGGGGGAACATATATAACCAACATCTTCATTTCAGCAAATGGAGGTATTAGGGAAGCCCCCTTTCGTTGGGTTTTAAAGCGGGACACAGGGAAAAGTCAACATACCCATTTCAGCAACTATCCAGTAGTGATGGATTCCCATTGAAACCAGCAAGGGAAAAATCAACAGATTCATTTCAGCAAATGGAAGCCAGTCTTCTTTGCCCTTCTCAACCACGGGGTCCCCGACCGCTGCAGGAACTCCAAGGCCTCTCCGCCCTGACGCCACTGAAAGGGGCAATGAGCCCTGGAGATCATGGGTGCGCCTCTTTTAAACGGAAACCCCACCAAACAATGCCTTTTTTTGGGGGGGAAACCCACCCAAAAGCGCTGGGTTGTCCTCTTGGTTGCCCGTGAAAACTGCAACCAACATGTGGACTCCCTTTATATGGTTGAAACCGCAAGTGCGCACTGTGGACGGCACCTGAGTCACAATCAAAACCCGGTATTAAATTGGTCGACACAGAACCATGTAAGGAATTAAGAAGGCGGCCGCAACTATTTCTGGCTGGGACTGCCCCTTACTAAGCTTCATCTAGCCAGGTTTTGATTGTGGCTCACCTTTCCTTGCCACAAGTGGGGCCGCACGAGCCCAACAGTGACGGCCGCAAAGCGGGGCGTGAAAATTGTTCAAGGTCAGCCAGGGACATTTCTGAATTTTGGTCACAAGCCCTTTAGATTGCACATTGCCTTGGGCCAGATTGATTCTGCTCCTGTCTCTAAGGGTGTTGTATTACACCCTGGGTCAAGGGTCTATTCCCAGGGTGTAATATCAAAAAAACTCATGGATTCTGTCGCGACATCTGCCCGCCTCTTGCTCACCTGGCGGGCGGGCTACATGGGACACCAAAAAAGACCTGGATGAATAATTATGAGCCATCCTAAACATGCACCGTGCCTTGGCTGATCCTCCACTTCACCCCGCTACAAGAAAAAAGGGAAGGATCCGGTGTGTCAGGGTCCTTTAAAGACCCACCCGATCAAGGAGTCATGGCTAATGGCGATGACTGCCTTCATAGGAATCCTTATGCCTGTCTCAACTCTTTCGAGGGTGTCTTCACAGCAGGATCTGACAGAAATCCTTCTGCTCCACACCACAACCACAACTTCTGTTGGCTGTTGCGAGCAGGTCATGTTATGCACTTATCTTGTCAGCATGTTCTATGTGTTGAGAAAGTATGATCAACACGTTCAGAAACAATGATCAACTGGATCACAGGAAAACAAACGTGTACGGGGGGGTCCCTCAAATTGGTATACCAGTAGTCGATTTAGGGAAACCCTGTCCGAGTAAGAAACACACACACACACACCGCAGGTGTGGAAGGGTATGCATTGTACCTATCCCTGTGCGGGTGGAGTTCTCAAAAGCCCAGTGGCGATGTGACAAAGGGGGCCACCCATGTCTTGCTTGATGTTACTGGCCTGTCCGTTTTCGGATTTCCCAACCACTCTTCCCTAAAAAGCTAAAAAGCTAAGGAACCGGATGGCTGGCCACCGAGGTTCAAGGGCCGCCACCGTCCCCCACGAAAAAAAAAAAGAAAAAAAAAAAAAAAAACGCTGACTCCCTGGGAACTTCCCCAAGGCGCCTGGCGGGCAATCTGCGGGGCGGCCCATACCTGGCGACAGTGGGCATGCAACTGACGCGCAACGCCGGACGCTGGAAGACATGGAGCAAAGAGCCGTCTGGAAACCAAGTGGGCAAAGGGGCCGGGCCTGGAAAAAAAAACACACGAAAATCTGCGGCCTGAGGAAAGGACAGACAGAAGGGCTGAGGAGTATATGACAAAAACACTGTCTGGCAGAAATGTACAACGGCTTGAGAGCAGTGTACAAAAAGGCGTGGTGAGACAAAATGTGTGCAAAAGGGTCTGCAAAACATGGGTGAAACGGGTTATGGACAAGATCGGCACGAATTGGTGTGTGTTGAGGAACAAAAAACGGTCCTGGAGGATTGAAGGGGTCTCTCAAAGTAGGGGAACCCCCTCCAAATAGATGGCTTCCATTTCCTTTTTGAGGATACCTCTTGTTCGGTTTTAAAGGGAAACCACCACTCAGGGCGCCCAAAGAAAAAGGACGCGCCTGTGTGGTGTCCCTTCAAAACAACCGCACGAAGACCCAAAGAAGACAGATGCCCGGATGTTCGCGGAAAATGTTGGGCGCCCTTGTCGGGGGTCGATTTCTTGGGTGCCCCCTAGTTGAGTGGGTGTCCCATTCTAGATCATTCTCTCCGGGAAAAAAAACACCTCTGAAACAAATCCGGCCAATGTCCTGTTCAGAACAAGTCCAAACTGCACAAGTTCTCGTCTTCTCACTCCAAAAGATTGATTGATGCAAACCACCGTTTGGGATCCCCAAAGCGATCCAGCGATCCACATAGGCATGTCATTTCCGGGGAAAAAACACTTACACAGCTATTCCCAAGTCCCTTGCTAAACGCCTAACTAAGTGGCAGAGTGGTGTTTCCACCACTAAACCCACCGCAAAGCTTAAACTAGGTCCTCCAGTGCAGAGGTTAGAATAAGGGTACCACATTTTTTTCAGTTGTCAATTTTAATAGGGGAACCCTCAGAAAGGGCACCTAGCTGGGGGACCTAGTTCTTCCTTCGCCAGGGTCTAGGGCCGCACTTTCGACTCACCCGCAAATACCTGCTAGGGAATAAATGGTGGGTTCCCTTTATTTTGGTGGTTGCAAAATGGAGATCTTTTAAGGAGCCCTGTTAAATGGACACCCAACCACTAAACACTAAAAGTGTAAACAGCTAAGTTGAGCCGGATGGCCTTCGGGAGCCAAGAAACGAGCCGTCGAGCCTCGGGGTTTCGGCACGGGGAACCAGGCCACATCCCCCAGCAGCACGTAGGGCTCCGACCTACCGCCCAGTGGACTTTCGTCGACGTCGGAAGACCCCGAAAAAATAAGTCTAGGTCCTCCAGAATAGAAAGGTTAGAATAAGGGTATCAACTTGTTTTTCTTCTGTAGTCTATTTTAGATTATTTTAGTAGGGGAACCCTGTACTGCCCAGAATCAGTCGGGTTTTTTGTGTTACACCCTGGGTTTTCGACCCTTGGAACATGAGAAAATGAGCATTCCCAATGGTTCAAGATCACATGGCTGTGGCTCAAGACCCTGTACTGCCAGTGAACATCCGATTCAATCCAACCACTAAAAAAGGTTCTAAGATGGGTGGTAAATTCACCTACCCCGAAATGGCACCATTGGCTTTGACCCACAGCCATTGTGCAACAAATAGGGCCACAAGAAGAAGTGGGTGGTTGAGGGAAACAGGTTGAACAACTGAGACTTTGATACCATGGTGAGTCCGATACGCGTGCTTTACCTGGATGTTGGACAGTTCGGCGCTTGCTCAAAAGGCTTCAATGTGTTGAGGTCAGATTCTCGTCCGATTTGTTTCGACAATGCGCGCTGTGTTCATATTAATGTGCCCTGCATTGACCTGCTCTTGAAAGCGTCGTCCCAATTTCAGCGCCAGCACGGGGCGCGATGGACGCGGGAATTGGCAGACACTTGATCAAACTCGAGCGGTCGAAGATGAGTCAGCTTACATTGCGACTGCGAAGAACACAAGAACACATATCCTGAGTCGTTAAGAGGATATGGCGTATGGGGGGACCCGAAAACTGGTGGGCTTCCCAAAGAACTATGCCAAAAAGGGCACTCTCAAAACAACCCACCACACACACACACACACACGGGAGTGGAGGTCTCGAAGGAGTGAGCATATTGTCCACGTGTGAACATGTGTCAGAGGAGCGTAAAATGGACTGAACATAGGGCTCCTGGATTTTGTCCTAGTTGAATTTTGAATTTAGTGTCAACAACTAGGACCTTTACCATGGTGACATTGTCATGCGCCTTTGTCTCAAAGCGTCCCTGCAGGCCGCTAGATTTTGGTCAAACCATCTTCCTCCTATTTGAGTTGGGTGCTGAATACTTGGCTGCTGGCAAGACCCCCCCCCCCCCTGCAAAAAGTTTGACAATTGGGGGTTTAGTGGAAAAGTTAGAGTCTAAAGATCCAACACAATAGCAGTCAAGTAATGTTCCCTGTATTTACCTGCTTCATCCTAATTTCAGCGCTAGCGCTTGGCGTGATGGGCGCGTGAATTAGCAGAAACCTAATTAAACTTGAGCGGTCGAATGGTTGGCACAGCAATACCCTTGCGCCCCCCCGACAAATGCCCCAGAACCGCAGCTCCCTTCCGTCTGCTTCGTGAGCCAAGCTGCTTCCAAGTGTTCTTCGGCGGGGCGAAGGTCGCCTGGCAGTTCTTGGATGGTATGCTTCCGATGTCCAAGATGACAGGTGAATCCAGGATCTAAGTGGAACCCGTCCCATTATTAGGGGGTGTTTTCTCCAAAAGTGGTCTGAATCCCCACTAAAAGGGGACACCCCCTATTAGGGGCCCCCTATTTATCAACCAACCAAGGATTTATTAATCCAGGGTTAACATTACTGTCCAACAAGCAGCAGTTGGGGCGCTGGTGTCGCTTGGTTGATGTGCAAGGGCAAGCCACCCTGAAAGGATAGAAAGATGCCGGGCAACTGGGAAGCAAACCAATAAAACCGGCTGGATCGTTGTTGCACGTTGCCTTCGCTCCTTGTGTGTGTGTGTCTGTGTGTCTGTGTGTCTGTGTGTCTGTGTGTCTGTGCGCCGCGGGGGGGGGGGTGCACAACAACAACAACTGTCATTCTTTCCCGTGGCTTCCTTGCAACATGCAAAAAGGGTCAAGAACAGATGCGTCAGATGTGACTTTCCCGTGGCTTCCTTACAAAATGCGTCAGATGTGCCTGCGACTTCTCTTTGGCAACGCCATCGGTTTTCAGATCTTGTCTTGTCATGCACCCAGGCAGCAGAAGCAAAAGCGACATCTTCATCTTCACTCACCACAAAAGAACAGAGGGCCATCCACGCCTGCGGTTGAGGGATGAACCGTCGCCCGGCCAAAACCCCGCCCGCCTTTGCCGGGTTGGCCGCCGCAGGCGCCGCCACCGGCGGCGTCGCCGCGCGCGGCGCCACCGGGCGCGGTGGCACCGTCGCCGCCGGCCGCGCCGCCGCGGGCGCCAGGGGGGCCGGCGCCGGCGGGCGCGCCGGCGCAGGAGGCACCGGCGCCAGCGACTTGGCCGCCGGGCGCGGCGCGCCTACGGGAAAGTCCAACGCAACCCAACTACCTGGGAGTTTTCCTTGTGACCCTAAACAAAACTGGCTGCTCATTTCCCAAAATCATGGGGTCATGGACCCATTTCTAAGGCCATCATACGATCCTGTGCTGTCTGAGAGGGTCCAAGAAAGGCTCAAAGTGACGCAGAAGGTACTTTCCAGGCGCAACCCGAATTGCTGGACTGCCACGACTCCAAAACACAGTCCAACAAGAGATGGGCGTGTCCCTCGAAAAAGGGGGTACCCCGCAAAAAAATGTGGCACCCTCAAAAAAGATCCACCTATTATACTATACATGCGGAAATGGCCGAATATGCTGGCCCAGGCGCATACTCAAATGATGGAAAACCCACAAAAAGCCGAACAAAAGAAGAAGCAATGATTCACCTCACCCTTATATTTGGTGGTTTGGTTTGGATGTTTTGGCCCAACCCCAAGTGCAAACGATGCAAGACGAAAAAGGGGGGGGGGCGGGACCCGTATGACTTCCCCTCGAGTTTGCCTGTAAGACCCCCAAAACAGGAGCGCCTGCCCCAAAAATGGGCAATTACCCATTCACCTGGGCACCAAACCAAGAAACACCAACGCCAACCGCCATCCGCTCGAGCCCTTTGCCGATACCGTCGCCTGCCGATGCACGGAAGGCCGGGCTCTCCGCGGGGTTGATGACCTGCGGGCCTCGACAGCTGCTCAGTTGTTCAGTGACCCTGGAAAAAAAGGGAACCCTTTTGTGGGAAGACCATTTTAGTGGGGCAGCCACCAAAAAAAAAGGAAAAAGGGAGCCACTGAACAGCTGAGGCTGCCTTTCCAAGTTGAGCTCAGAAGGAAACCCAAAATATTGCGATGGGTGCACTTTCGCCAAACAAAAGTCCAAACTGCTATTTACCACTAACATTGCCTTCCAAAAAGTATGAGGTCCAGGAAGTGGGGTTCTCAGGAAATAGGAAATGGAACCGAGAGAAACCATCCCTTACTGGTGGTTTCCTTTATTCGGGAATCCTTACATTCCCGAGCACCAGCAAGAAATTGGAGAAGGGGGGGAGTGACAGAAACGGGAAGAATACATACCCTCCCGTCCACCAACGTGGAACCTGAGGTGTCTTGGAAGACAATTTTCCTTTACAAGGGACCCTCCTGACGGGTTCCATGTTCACAGAAGGGCAAACAACATGGCAAACTGAAGTGGGGGTGGCGCAGGGGTCTGGAAAAAAGCAACGCATTTACCATCTGTTGTTGGTTTCCTTTGGAATTCATTGCTGGTTAGAATCAGTTTACTTTCGCACTTGTCCTGGCTAAATGCCTTGAGCTGACAGGAACAAACAAGGTGCCCATTCACAGGCGGTCTGATTTGACAGGCGCTGCACCAGAGCTGCGCATGAGCGCAGACCGAAGAAGAAAAGCAACGCCAGCATCAGAACTGTTGATGCCGTCTGGACCAACGAACCAGCGAGTCACTTGCTCAAAACCTGGTAGTAAAATGGTCGTAATCCCAGAACCATGCTTCAAGAATTAAGAAGCCGGAATTCCGCAACGATTCCTGGCTGGGACTGCCCCTTCACCTTCATCTACCCGAGTTTTGAGTGCGCTCAAGCGGGACTACGGAGGGAGCGGGGATATGGGGGGATTCCCTTGGCGCCAGTTCCCATAAACTTGGTCAAGGTGCATCAAATGAGAATCGGAATCCTCCCGTATCAACCTGGTTCCCCCTGTATACCTGCTAGTTGCCCTAGCAACCGAAGGGATGTTACACTGGAATCAACACTGGAATCTGCTGCACTGCTCGTGAATCTTGCCAAAATGTGCCGAAGGATACTCGAGCAACCGAAGGGATGTGACGGACTTTTTTTAATATGCTACACTGGAATCACTTGCCGAACTCTCACAAGTCAATACCCGGCATGACACTGAGAGTTGAGATACAGCCAAGGCTAAGCCCAAGGGGGCATCCTCGTTCATGTTTGAATAATCTGGTGAGGAAAACTGCGAGGTTGAATTCATTGAGCAGTCTCCGTAGAACAGGAATCAATAAACAAGATGGTACGTTTCCATTCAGGACTTTGACCATTTGAGTGCTTGAGCAAACCGAAGCAAAACTCGGCAACGTAGACTACAAAGAAGCGGTGGATGAGCAACAATACCATGAACTCTTGCGCTTTTGGCCAGGGCTCCGTATCAAATGTGTTCCACCTCTTCTATGCCTTGTTTGCCTTGCACCTCTTCAAGGATTGTCGCATTGTTGTCCAACTGATTTACTTTGTCTTTGGTGCAATTTCGGCCGGCCCTACCATTCTCCGATTTTCAACACAGGAGTCCACTATCATTGCTTGCCTTTTTGGGCACCTATCGTTCTCCGGACAAGGAAGGAACGGCACCCTGGAAACGCTCCCGGGCTCAAGCCAGCAGCATGAAAACCAGTTGGCTTATGGTTCTACCCAAACGCTCCCGTTTGATTTTTGGCCTTCAAACGGCCCGGTTTGTTGTCTCCCCAAAACCCCTCCGGGGTGTCCAATGGAGGGTCTAGGTCTTGCATTGGAAGCCCCAGGAGCGTCTAAGGGAATATTCATGTACCCTGGTACCAATTTTACAACCGCACTCTTAAAGCCTTGCCACTTGCCTCAAGGGAAGGCTTTCTGACATTGGAGGTGTGAGGTGTGGCTTGCCGGCCTGACCCCGGTGCACGCACAGGCGGCACACCTGACGGAGAACCGGCTTTCTCATGGGTAACTTTCAGAAATGATTCATGCTACGAGGTTCGTGCAACGTTGAGTGTTCCCCAACACAACATACATTTGGGTATGGGTCAAAATTAAACCACCAGAAAACCGCAGATTTTAGTCCTTGGCTCCATGTACCAGGGCAAGCCATTTTGGGTACTCATTTCTGACCCACTGCCATTTTGTGCTGCATGTCTCCCCCCAAACCAAGAGGGGACTACCCGAAGTGTTTTGGGGTTTGGTATGCAGAACCCGGGGGTGCTCGTACCACACCTCGAGTTGCTTTGGGGGTCTCAACGCAAGTGGTTTTGGAGCCCCAAAAATCCATCGAATCGGACCCTCAGGGTACAAATTCTCTGGCGAGTGACTCAAACGCCAGCCCACCTTATGCCACAACAACAAAAAAACAGCTACCAGGTCCTCCAGTAGAGAGGTTAGACTAAGGGTACCCCTGTTTTTCTGTAGTCTATTTCAGTACGGGAACCCTCCCAACCAAAAAATAAAAAAGAAGTAAAAGGGCACAATTCTGGGGCACCTAGGCAAGCGCCATGATGAGCGCAACTCTGATGTCTGGTCGACGCTTGCTCCGGCAACAGCGGGGCCCTGTAGCATCCGCTCTCCACGGGTCCGTGGTCAGCTTCGGGGATTGACCACCCCACTGGGCCCGCAGATCCCCTCCTAAAAGTTTTTAAGTAGTGGGTCAAATTCGGAAACCCAACCACCAAACACTATAAAGTCTAAAAAGCTAAGTGACCGGATGGCCGAGCCGGGAGCCACCAGTGGGGGTTGAGCCACTCCAGCGACCTCCGCGCGGCTCTAGGGTTTCGTTGGGACATTTTTCTGGATGGTCCGGGCAACCCTTGGTCTGAAACAAAGTCTCACTACGTATGCTTTCCATTCGCTGAAATGTTTTGTTGCCCTGTTGGTTTTAAAGGGAATCCATCACTATTGGACATATGTGTTTATGTTTTCCAGGGGGCTTAAGCAAATGGAAGATGAGTCAGCAACCAATGAAATTCTTGCTTGAGAACTTTAATTGCACGGTGCTTTCCAGCTAGGAATTTTAAAGGAATCTATAGCTTTCCTCCACAACTCTGGCAAGGAAATCGATCTTGGGGGCAAAGGTAGCCATACCAGCGCATCCCGCAGCTCTTCCGCTCTTATGTCCAACATGATAATCGTACTGTCCAAACACCAGATGTTGAGATTCCCTGGTTGCTGGCAAGCCAACCCCCAAATTCCCCCCTCCCCCGCATCCCCCCCTCCGCGTGCTTGGTGCCTCGTGGTGGTGGCACCACCTGGGGCACCGGAGCGCCTGAATTTTGCGAGCCGAACGACGTCCGAAGCGAGCGCGGGGAAAATGGCGGTGGTGGTCAAACAAAAAGGCCCCTTGCAAGGTCCTTGAACAAAACCACAGAGTTAAAAGGGGCACCCACAAAAAAGACAGGCCGATTTGGGTGTGGGTCAAAAATGGCTTGCCCTGGTAAATGGAAACATCGACTAAAACCAACTGTCCGATTCCTAGTTTAATTTCGATCCATACCCAAATCAGCTGAGGCATCGGGATCCAACAGCCCCGGCATTGTCCTAAAACCCCTGCTTTTGAACCTCCCGGAAAGCCCCAAACCACCCTGCAGAGCCGATGTTCTGCGCAGAGACCCCTAGCTTTCAGCTGTTGGGGAACAATATCTGCCAGTTGGCAGGGATGTTGGACAGAATCAGCAGCAAGCCCTATAGGCAAGAAATTGAATTTGCACTTGAGTTCATCTGAGGCTGAAAGGTAGTGACAAGGGGAAAAACAAGTGTGTCAATCAATACCGGGTATTAAACAATCTACCCAATACCATGTAAAGAACTAATAAGGCGGCCGCAGCCATTTATGGTTGGGACTGTCCCCACACCCCAACCCACACCCCAACCCACACATCTACCCGGATTTTGATTGTGGCTCAGGTCAGTCTGGCAAGGGCCGTGCCTGCAGGCGGCGCCGCCTGCAGACCGAGTTGACACATGGGTTGCTTGCCGCATTGAGTCGTGCAAGTCGCATTTGACCTCTGTCCTTGGGGAAAACAACGGGCAAAAACCCAACGATCTGTGGAATCATCCACAAAAGGTTCCCCAAATTCAAGTGCTTCCTGCAATGTTGCTTTAAGGTTTATTGCCTTTGGAGCCACTTTCGAGAGCCTCTCGCCGATTCTAGCCGCAACAAAACCAGCCAAGAACAAGTCTCAGAAGCGAGCGCCGACCTCATACTGAAGCGGGGAGCACAAAGCCACATGCGAGAACCCTTTTGCTTGAATAAACGTCGTTCTCCCGTCTGGTTTCTCTAAAAACGGCCAAAGGGCTGCAAACTCCAGAACGTGAACTGCACTCAAACAGGTACGCGGTACACGTAACAGCAAACCGGCAAAATAATCTAACAAGAGGGATGTGTCTAAAGTGGTGCGCCTTCAAGCATCATACAAACTAGGTTAGAATAAGGGCACCGTTGTTTTCCCTGTTTTTCCCCCCTGTAGTCTATTTTAGTAGGGGAACCCTCTCCCAAGAAAGGGTAAAAGCGCACTACTGGGGGACCTAGCAAAATTGCACGACTCAGATTTGACAGTTCCACAATTGGCGCTGTCATGATACCATGCTTGTCTGCTCAAGTTACCAATGTCAAATTCAGCCAGTTGCAGGTCAAAGCACAAAAGCGACAAGCGGTTTTCATAAGCCTAGAACACACAAATATACCCAACAAAAAACACGTCAACTCTGACAAATACTAGAAACTTCTGAAAATGCAGGCATATGCAGGAATAAGCTATTCCAGTTGCGATAGATTCCCTTCGAAGCCAATACGGGAAACTTAGCATAGGTGTCCTTTTGAATCAAAGGGGGCCCTGCAAGAAAAAAAAAATACGACAAACAATCTAAGCCAGTGGAATCCATGCCACTTACTCCTTTTCAAACGAAGCTAAGGACACCGGCCCTCACTCCCGCGACTTGGCCAAAGCAAGTCTGAGCTGTTTTGGTCTACATGGTCTTCTCAAAAAGGATCAAGTCCAGGAATTCACCCTAAGTGACCCTATCACAAACATCTGGCTGCCCAAATCAGTGGCCCCCAAGATGGCATGGGACACGGAACCAAAGAGGAAAAAAGCCGCGGTTTGCCCCAGCGCAAAAAAAACAACACTATTTTCAGCACCCATCTTCTCAAGCAACCGGCTTCTCAACGTCAACTCCGGCGCGCTTCGACCCGGACCGGAGTCCGAAGAGCTCGCTCAGGCCTGCCACTCTGCCCACCGCAGCGCCTCGGCAGCGGAAATGACTTGGCGATCCAAAAAACCCGATGCGAGCGGCGCATAGGTAGGGCATGAGAAATGTGGGAATGACCCCAACAACAAAAAAACACATGACTGGTGGTAGCAGCTCAAACTACATGTTGCCCCAAAAGCCTGCGATAGCGAGAGGTTTTTGAGAAATGGAATGACCCATACGAACGAAAATCACTTTTGTTGCCGCTCGAGGACCGAAGACCTGGGTCTCAAGTTTGCCAACCCCCAACAAGCGAAGAAGTCCGAGTTCCGGAACTCGAGTGAGAAATAGAGACAAGACCCTAAAAATGGCTGCCGGCTTCAAACTACTCAAAGCAGGGCCTCGAGTTTTAGAAAACAGGTACGTTCGGTCTCGAACGTACCCCCGCCCCCTGCAAGATTCTTTCAGAGAACAAAAAAGCTCCAAAAGACCACTGCCCTGTTCAAATCTAAAAAAACAAAAACGAGTACCCCTTCACCCCCCGATCTGACTTTGGCTTGGACTCTGTCAAGAGGGTGTGCAGCGAAAGATCATGGTTTGGTCTCTTGGAACATGACACAAATACCCGGTGTCTTCTTCTTCTTTCCTCTCGAAAACCTGGCCCCAAATCTACCAACAACTAGACCCTCGAACTACCCTCAAACAAAGAAAAGAAAAAAGAAGGGCTGTCACCCCATTGTGGGGCAATCACCAATTTTTCAGAAGATTTTGGGACCAGGAAGATGTACTAGGTCCTCCAGAGTTGAGAGGTTAAAATCATGGCACCAACTTTTCTCTGTCTATTTTAGTAGGGGAACTCTACCAACCAAAAAAGGGGAGAGAAAGGGCACTGGGGCACCTAGTGTATCTCAGGCAAGCGAGGCGCCTCGAAGCGAAATCTCGCTTCGCTCTTCCCCCAAGGGCCCCGCCTCCGCTTGCATCTCCAGCTCTTCCGGCGTCAGCATGGCGCCGGGAGGCGGCGGGAGGGTGGGAGCGAATGTGGGATGGCTGTGTGCTGTGGGCCTCCCAGGGCTTCTCTTCATGGATTGTTTCGGCCAAAAAAGAAGAAGAAGTCCGTACACTTTTGGTATACTACTGGTGCAAAAGTCCGAAAAAGAAGTGGCCAACAAGTGGCGGAACTTGTGGATGGGGCAAAAAAATAAACTCGCCATATTGTTGGCGACCACTACAAATGGCCCAAAAAGTCAAGTGGCTGAAGTCCAGGAACTGGAACTCGGGAAGTGAGGAAAGGCCTCACAAAAGTAGATGTGGAGTTCTATTGGCTCAGAGAATTCCAGATTGCAAGGCAGTGGGAAAGTGGCTAGCTGGCTGGCTGGTTCAGAGTGGCGAGTGGCCTGCTTGCTCACAGTCGTATCAAATCAAGCCAAGTCACGCCCAACGGCTTATGTGTGTCTTAGGAATTGGGTGAGTCGTAGCCCCACAAAAACTTTCACGAACAAGGCGGCACACAACACGCCTGCGCGCGCGACATGTCTATAGAACCAAATTGTAATGCTTCGGCTCGCCCACGGTTCATTCGCGGCATCTACTCCAGGCAAGGTGACATTTCCCATGGGGTGCTGGGTCCTCTCTAGCCAGGTGGCTGCAGACAGGAGACAGCAAGGCTGTCAGCAACACTGAAACCCAGTTGCCCGGTGTTGTTGGGGGAAATCAACCACTGGGTTTGAGGCTGTGGTGCAATCGAAAAAGGAGCCCTTGGAAACATTCAAAGGAATCCAACAGGAGGAATACTCCAACCAAAGCTCCAACCCATTGTTGGCAAAAAATACATTGCTTAAATGTCTCTTTTTGTTTAGAGTAAGCTTAAATATGGGTGGGTCTTTCATAAAAACCACCATAAAATCAACCCAAAACCTCCATCTGCTTGAGCCGCCTGGAACATGAATCTATATTTCCAGACGTGGTATATCCCCTTCAAAACCATCAAACAATTTCAACAAACGAAACCTGCAACAAGGATCAACCGGTTTATCATGTTCAAGACGGCCGCAACCACATCGCCACATCCCAGGATTCGATGTGTTCAAGTATTTTGGCTAAGCCCACTGGAAAAACAAAAAAACACACATCCACTCTATATAGCTCAGTTGTTCAGTGACAATGGAAAAACGGGAACCCTTTCTTGGGAAGACCATTTTAGTGGGGCAGCCACCAAAAAAAAAAGAAAAAGGGAGCCACTGAACAACTGAGATAGTGATCAATCCCCTTTTTAAGACCAACAAATTAAAAAAAAAAAAAAGCAACTCTTCCGCAGCAAATGGGCAAAAATCGATTCGATTTTTTCGGCTCCTCGGGCCTTCAATTCGGAACCGGATCGATGCGGGGGGCACTTCCGGTTCAGAACCTCCGGGGACATGTGGGTCAAAGTGCCCACCTTGTCCGTCATCACGGCTCGGGGCCTGGATCTGCACATGACTTGGACCTCCAGATTTGAGGTCCGTTAGAGTAAGTTGGTACCCGATTTTATTTTTTTTTCAGGTGGTCTATTTTAGTAGGGGAACCCTCCCACAAAAAACTTGCTTCCTTTTGTGTTTTTTTTTGGTACGTAGATTGTAGTAGGGGAACCCTACCAACCAAAAAATAGGAGAGAAAGGGCACTACTGGTTTTTGAGAGATGACAGCTGTGGGGTCTATGCCCAACGAGCTTTGAAATGGTTTGCAGCAGCTTTCAAGGGCTCAAAAGCAAGTGGTTCAGCTCTGATTTCTCTCAGAAAGCAGCTGGCTAGAGTCCGGCTAGAGAAGTGTGCAGCCAATGGACTGCCGGGAAACGTCTCAAGCTGATGGCTTGAGGATCCAGTTGCTCAATGGTCGAGGGCATGTCTTACAAGCATGTTGCTGAGCGAAATTGCTCTGACGACTGTTTGCTGTTGACGGGTTGAGGCAATGACTGTGACAAGTTGTGACCGCGGAAGAAACGAGAACGCCACCAATCTTGAGCCACAGATTGAACGCTCACTTTTTTCAAGAACCGCGACCAGGTGATTAAGTCACCAAACCACCAATCCAAACAACCGATTTCTGGGGATCGCTGCAACTCTTCACGAAGCATCATGCCACCTGATACAAAGCCCGCTCAAACTTGTCCAAAGGCAATTGTCACCTGCTATACACAGGGTTGCTTTAACATAGAGAAGCTCTGCAAGCTAAGTGGCTTTCCGCCTTATCCATTTGCATTCACAAAATCGGTAGCTTTGGCGTACGACCCCACCCCTCACATCCAAACTAGGGATAGGCTGGTATCCCTTAACTTATGCTTGGGGCACAGACCCCCCCGAGAGTTTTGAGACCTTGCCAATTGAACCTAGCCCAGTGCATCCGGTCAATTACACCCATGCAGATATTTAGAGAAGAACACGTTGCCTACCTTCTGCCATGGTGGTGCTGCCTACTAATCGGGGTTGAATTCACTGGGATACCAATGGAAGTTCAAAGGACTTGGAGAAGGGTCTCTTGAATTTCTGGAGCCGAAGTCTTGAAGGGTTTGAGATTTTCCTTCAAATGAGTTGGTTTCCTTTGCCCCTATTACATCCCAACACCAGAAGGCTCTCGGTCCCACGTGGGAAACTCTCTCGGTCCAAGTGGGTGTTGGGGTTTTCCCTCACGTCCACAAGCCGATTCGCCGAAATTCGCCGAAATTCGCCTGAAGGTGCAGGACAGGCCAAAGTCCGAGACCTTCAGCAGCCTCAAGATGGGAATTGGAGTCGCCGCTCACGACCCAAAAAATCTGAAACCCGCTTTCTGCTGGAGAAAAAAAAAAGCGCCCGCCCGTCGGTTTTTTCTGAGGCGACCCCTTTTTGGGGGCTCCCTGATATTTGGCCCCTCCTTTTTTGAGGCGACCCTTTTCGGGGCTCCCCTTTATTTGGCCCCATCTTTCTTTTGGAATTGGAGGCTCGGTGCCTGTTTTGGGGCTCAGGTTCACCCATACGGAAAACCCAAAAAAGCCATGGCTGGAGTAGGAACGCCTGGCTTGGAGCCCAGGTGGCTGGGCTTTCCGGTGCTTGTGTCCCATGAAAACCCTCGGGGCCAAAAATCCCCGGCTTTCTCCCACCACTCCAAACCACCAAGAAGGGGTTTCCTGAAGCGGTGAAAAACAATGATGGTGCACATCTGCCACAAAAAACACCCAAAAAAAACAATTTACGAGCCTGGATCTCTAAGTGAACCGAACATGCAAGTACAAGCCCGCCTTGCTCAGGTCCGAGAAAAGCAAGCATGGGTGAAATGGTTTCTTCCTTAGTTAGTACCCCTTTTGATGGCAAGATCGAAAACTCAAACTGGGCAGGGGTTGTAAGCTCCCAGAAATCTTGGATGGGTTTCTGTGGCTCAAAAAAAAAGAAGAACAGTGCCGGCTGAAGGGGTTCCTCTCACTTTGACACATATAAACCTACAGAATTGCCTGTGTCCTGCAGGACAACATGGACAACCGGGGTAACCCCAATGCCCTCCCACCAACAGACCACCAATCGTGGCTCACAAATCGGTGTTTCTGAAAACATAGGGGACCAAGTCTTCCTCTCGGCGTCCGAATTTAGTCGTTTTTTTGCTTAAGCCCCCTGGAAATATCAACAACCCACCAACCGCGGAAAATAACAAATCAACCGTCTTAAGCAAACCGGTGAGCTCTCAAATTTCGCAACCGGTGAGCCCCGAGGTCGATTTGAGATAGCCGTGTGTGACCAAAGCTTTGATCCAACTTCTCGATTTTTTCCGTTCCATGGCCCCAGCCCAGGCTGGAGATCAAGGGCCTTCTGTTGGGGGAGTTTCTCAAAATGGTGGACCCCGTTTTGAGTGGTTTCAAGAAGAAGCCAAAAGGAAGCGACTCATTTCCAGGTGCCCTATTTTGGGCATTTGGGCCGGGATATGGGATACACAAAGGGGTCCGATCTTGTGTCATCAATGCTCAACTTCCCAATAAACATGTCTGGTTGAAAGGAAGGGGTTGCCAAACGCACTTGCAACTCACGCGGTCCTCACAATCAAAAGGTAAAGCAACTAGCCAGGCCTAGCCCCCAATCTTCCGGGCCCCCTGCCAACACATGAACCAGGAGCCTGCAACCGGCAGCATCAAAAAATGGCCCCAAATCAGCCGCAACAGTACGTGAGCTCGATCGCTACCTTCAGCATTGCCGGCATCTTTCATCCTCGACATTGGGCCGCCCAGTAGCCATTCCTTCAGCAATCCAAAGCAGGATGGCTTCCTCCGCAAGCGACCAGAGCAGAATCGTGTTGTCGCCGTTGTAGGGCGGGTCTTCTCCACGCAGCACGCAGCACTCTTCGCACTTGCTGTGGTGCCTAGCCACTCCGCGAGGAGAGCCACTCGCTGGCGCTGCAAGGGCGTGCGGCCAAAGAGGGATCTTTATCCGGAGAAGGGGAGGCCGCCTTTTTTGGTCAAACCAAGAGTTTTACCAGAACTCTGCTCTAAAATCTAACACAATCCGCAACAATCACCGGCTGGCCAACTCTATTCCCCCCCCCCCCCCGGCCCCTCACTGGCCACTCTTTCGAATTCATAGTTGAGACACCCACATTAATTAAGCGCGCAAAAGAAGTGCCCCACACTGATGCGGCTGGGGCCCCACACGTCTTGGTGAGGACGTCGGGGGTGGAGATCAAGATGTTCTCCGCCTGGATCAAGCAAACGAGCGAGCCGTTTCTGGGGCCAAAACGGTCATCCCTAACGAGGTTTTTTCGAGTAGGGAGCTTAGAATAAGGGTACCCATTTGTTTCTGTAGTCTGTTTTAGTGGGGGAACCCTCCCCAAAAAAAGAGTAAAAGGGCGGTCTACTTTTCATAGAAAGCAGCTGTAGGAACTTCTTTCTACAGGAAAATGCCACCAAGCACAAGGATCTCCTTGAGACTTTGCTGCTTTCTGAGAGACCTCCATGGGAGAATGGAAGGGGGTCCAACGCTCTTGGTTGCTATGGGCAAATGGAAGGGCTTCTCTTTTCGGGGCTCCTTGCTGTTTGGCTCCGAA